AGCCATTCGCTGCTGAAGGTACAAATAAGGTGGGGGCACCGCTAGGGTGAAATTAGCATAGAGGGAATTTGGCCGGAGGACTAATGCGAGCGCGGAGCGCGAAGCACTTACGGCGTGGGGTCCGGGGCCCGCTTAAGGGCCCCGGGAAATTTCGGATCGTAGATACTCTGTGGTGCAATCTGAGGCGTTTCCTGGCCACTTTCCCCTGATTTTTTTAGCAGAAGTTGTTAAAATTGAGGGGATATTTTGTTTCATTTGTTTCAAATACATATAGGCCTATATACTCTTGCTCTTATAAAGTGTCTTCTGTATTCAAAGCTTAAAGTTGAGAACATGCACATAACTTGTAATTGTTCCGCGCTCGGTCACATAACTCTCTTTTCCCTCCATATTTTTACATGGCAAAGGGGGGTGTTTAACAGCCAAACCCCCCCCCCCCCCCCCCCCCCCCCCCCTGCGTACGCGCCTGGTTCGTATGCATAATATTTTTCTGCTGAAGTTTTCTAATTAAACGCATGAATTTAAAGCAATTTTGAAAAAAAAATGTATTTGCTTTAATGCTGTTATGTTATTGAGATATGATAATGTGGCTGATGGGTTGCACCTTAATTTGTGTAAAGTTTCGAAAGTTTTACATTCATTCGTTCATGAAAAAAGTTGCAAGATATTTCATCAGTCGAGATATGAGGTGGAAAAGTTGACCTTGTTTAGTGTTATCGTTTGTGCCACGTGTGTGACCGTGAATGTACATTCTGGAAAATTCGGTCTGCCTCATGTACATGTACGTCGTACGTCGATCGTACGTCTATTCATGCGTCACCGCAGTGCTATAAAAGCAGCGGCAGAGCGCGTATTCGTCAGTGGGTCTCATCGAATTGCCAGCACCTGGTTCACTCAGCCCTCGCTGTCGCCGCATGTAAAGCGGCCTAAGAAATGCACCGACAGAGGAAGGACCTCCCAAAATAGCACCGGGAGTCGCCCCCGGTGCGGCACGGACACTTTCCGCGGTGATCGTGCTCCTAGACTCCCGGTCAGTATGGTCCAACGCCGGTGGTGCGAAACTCTGGGGATCTTCCACGAGTCCCGGAGCGGATCATCGCAAGGGCAGCCGGCAAGCCCCTTCGGCGTAGGGACTCTGGCTCGCGCGCTGCTTTCCCGCCCGGTGCCCGGTAAACCAGCGGGTGCTGGAGATGGGGAAGCTAGCTGCGTCGGGTTGTGAGACCCCATCGCCATCTTCTCTCACTATCTCTTTGGCCCGGGGAGACTGAAGACCAGCAACCATCCACACCGCTGTCACCCGTCTCTGGGTGCTAGTCTGGGGCTGGTTGGAGGTTTCCCTGGGCCCCCACTTGGACGGAGTTTGGAGGGAGGTCAGTTTTAAAACCTGCTCTCTTCAATTCTGTGTTGGTGGGGGCCGGCTGATAAACCATCGTTACTACTAGTGAGGACACACCCGGCAGAGTATGTCTTGAAAGAAAAAATGGCAAAATTCAGTGCAAATTAAAAATCCAACCACAACCCTGTACAACTTACAAGATCGAGTCCCCAGCAAAGTTCCCTTCCCTTAGGCCTGAATGAAGCTACAGGGCTGAATTTCAGACTTTTTTACGGTGACTTATTAACGATGAATTCAGTATTATAATGTGGGTGGTTAAGATTATGTTTACAGCAGAGTGGCCAATTTAGTGGGTTTCCCAGTCATAACATGGGAATATGTTAAATAAGTACATGTACATGTGTATTTACATGATACACCATTCCATCCGGATATTGCGGCCTAATTATAATGCATGCTTTGCCATGTAACATTGCACTGTACACTGACTGTTGTACAAGTACATGTACATGACTTGTATACATGTACAATGTATACGTAAATGTACATGTTGGCCTATTGTGCACGAAGACTATGCTGATATGTACAATGTACATGTAAAGATACACATGTATTATGTTCATACATCATTATGCGTGCACTTGGCAAAAACGTGGCAAGGTTCAAGCTGGGTAACTTAAAGGGGCAATCTAAGCTACGAATTCCTGAAAAAAAATTTGTTGCCTGCAATTAATGTGTAATTTTTGTTTGGTGTGTAAAATAGTTTCTATATTATGAGGCACACGCATTTAAAAAAAGTGATAATATGTAAGCACATAGTGTAGCACTTTTTACTCAGTGTGTGAAAGCTTTAAGTGCATGCACTAGCTACACATACAACTCTCCCTATTTTCCTGAATGAATAATGAGGTTTCATGAATAATTCATAAGGTTCCCTTCTCGACCGAGTGCTCCGAAGAATTTTCTAGAATATGACAGAAACGTGGCAGGATGATGCAAGATGATTTTTGCATATTGTCAAATTGCTAAACAGATAGGTTTAAGTGCTGATTTTTAGTCATACGTGGATCGATGGATAAGTCAAATGTTATTGTATAAGCATTGATTTCTTTTGCTGAGATTCGGTAACGCATGAATTTAAAAACAAATTATAAAAAAATGGATTGGTTTTAATTGATGCTGTTTTTACGATATGATCATAATGTGGCTGATGGGTTATTACACTTTTTAAGTTTCAAAAGTGTTTTGCATTCATTCGTTCACGAAGAAATTAAGTTGCATAGCATTTCGTCATTTTATAGCTCCATGGTCAGTCGATGAAGGGGTTGAACAGTTGACCTCCCAATCGTTTGTGCCACGTATGTATACATTCTAGAAAATTCGGTCTGCCACGTGGTCGGCAATAGGCCCATTAAGCCCCGCTCCTTTGTTTTGACCAATCACAGCCGTGATTAATGTCGGGAATGTTCAGTATGCATTGACCAAGTTTGTATAGTGGGCGGGGCTTTTTTTAAGTCTAAGCATGCATGCGCAGATCCAAAACGCGAACGGCTATAAATATGGGAAAGCGCGGACGAATAAAGCAGTGGAGCCCATCGATCATAAACTAGCGCCAGTACCACTCCGCCTCGCTGCCGGGAAACCGACAGAGGAAGGACCCCGTTACCGAGTCGCCTGGTGCGGCATGGACACTCTCCGCGGTGACCGTGCTTCCAGACTCGCCGTCAATATGGTCCAACGCCGGTCTCCGTGAGACGCCTTCGGTGACGCGAGTCCTGGAGCGGATCATGGGTAGGCAACCGGCATTTTTCTCCGGCTTTGGGACTCGGCTCACGCGCTGCTCTCTCGGCTCCGCACCGGACTTAACTGCTGGTGCTGGAGGCTTGGGGAGCTAGCTGCGCGCAGTCGTGTCTCCATCGCCATCTTCTCTCACTATCTCTTTGGCCCGGGGAGACTGAAGACCAGCATCCATCCACACCGCTGTCACCCGTCTCAGGGTGCTAGTCTGGGGCTGGTTGGAGGTTTCCCTGGGCCCCCACTTGGACGGAGTTTGGAGGGAGGTCAGTTTTAAAACCTGCTCTCTTCAATTCTGTTTTTGTGGGGGCCGGCTGATATACCATCGCTTCATAGTGAGAGTAAATCGCACTGAAGAGAATGAATGTTAATATTACGTGTCCGACACATTCAACACCCACCCAAACCCCTTTCATCCGGAGGTAACACTGTCTCATTGAAAAATTAAGCAATGACCTTCATGCATCATCATAACTCTGCAAAATTTGTAGATTTTCTTGTCTAAATGCAATAAATGAAAGTCCCAATTAATTATTTGTTTTTAAAAATCACAAGGTGCACAGTAAAATTATAGGCCTAGCCTGTTTTATGTGATAACGAAGGAACATGAAGTTTTCCTAGATACGTCGATCGATCATTCTATACACGTTAACATAATTATTGAAAATGACTGTACATAGTACATGCACATGTACCCGGCCTTGTAGCCTACACGTACACATGAATGGAAACACACCATTATGTTAATGTCGTTGAACATGTACAAAATAATACATGTACCTTTATACATGGTATAATGCATGGTAGAATTGTTCGTAATCGACGTCGTGGTGGTGTTGAACTCCATGTCAAGGTTCACGTTGCTATAACTTAAAGGGGCAAACCCGTGGTGAATTAATTCCTCATAAAATCTTTGTTTCCTGCGCAAAGATGAGCACGATACACATTTTGTGTGGTTTTGGTGAACATATAACATTATTTTCGTCACAGTACATTTTAATGAAAGACTTTGGGAATTTCCTAAACATCTTTGTACTTTGAAAAAAAAACACTTACTCATTCCATTATGAATGCAATATATGGCAAGTTTATTCATTTTCTTCGTGGACATCTAATCAGTGTCGGACCATGCACACGGCCGTTTTATCAACCGTTGTTGTTGTTTTTTCACTGTGTCAAGGGCGGATCCATAACACATTTTATTTTTGGGGGGGGGGGGGGAAACAAAATTTGGTCCTCCAAAAAGTGGCAAAAAAAAAGATGGCGTGGGGTTCGGGGACCGCTCAAGGGCCTCGAAAAATGTTTAGATTCTAGATGCTAGTGGTACTGGTGCGATCTGAGGCAGTTTCTGACCACTTTAACCAATTTTTTTGAGGACAAGATTGTGGTGTACGCAGTGCCTGCCTTTATTACGACGTCACTTTAAAAAACAATTAAGGGGGGCATGGCCCCCGTTAGCCCCCCCCCCTTCCCGATCCGCCCTTGCACTGTTTTGCATCATGGTTGCATCAATCTATTACATTGTACTTCTTGCGAATGGTTGCACATGACGGTACCCGAGAAGTCCATGGTTGCATCATTCTTAATCAAGATCTTGTATACTTTTCTGGAACTTTCTCTGTGATTCATATCCGCACGGTTCCTGCGTTGTACCTAGACTTGGTTCAAGTCGGGGTTGATATGCTAATTAAAGGGACCGGAGTGCGTTGGGAGAATGCCCCTGTTCAAATCTCTATCGGACTTGGAATAAGTCTAGGCCCTTCGATTGGAATGAACTTATCGCACGCGTACAATGCTGTCCTGTCCGGCACAACTATAGTGCCTCAAAACGGACAAAGAAACATTGCATTAAAATTAATACAAAATATACGGAGTCGTCGTGGTCTACTGAATGTCGTGCGTGAAATACGAGTGAGGCGGCAACCCCCACGTGGGGGTGTCAGGCACCAGTGGGTCGAGAGGGGGCGCCCCCGAAGCCCCTCCCAGCCGCCAGAACCCCAGGTTCCGCAGGCATCGGCGAAGCCGTCGAACGTCCGACAGCACCTTCTCGTAGCGGAGCTGGGCCCGTTGGCCGTCCACCACGGAGTGAGCGCTCTCCTGGCGCAGATCCTTCAGCACACCGGACATGCCAAGATTCCGGACGCGTGGGTCGCTCAGATCCACCCGCTCGTAGGCCACGTGCAGCAGAGATCTGAATTCGGGTTCAGAAAATAGAAGAGAAAAGGCGGGAAATCGTTCAATCTCATCATCGCAAGGCGTTTTTAGATCTGTGGCGTGCTGGCTTCGACCGAACCCTGTATTTTATGTGAGAGCTTGATAAATCAAACATCAAGGGAACATCTTAGTGCAATTAAAATTTGACCTAGTAAGCAGAGTTTGAGTTAAGCAGGGTTGTAGTGTTGGGCAATTGATGCCTTGATTTTGTTTGACTTAACAGTTGTTTTGAGTCATCAGAGTTTGACTTATGGAGATTTCACCGTGTAGTTTAACTGTGTCATCATTGAGAACCAAAACCCTTCATTGCAATTTGATTGCCTTATGACATTTCAAACTAGTATTTGAAAGATAGAAATTGAAATAATATATTCTTAATGAAAAAAACAACTTATTAATAATAGAATTTTAGAGAGCGTGTTCAAATTATAGAACATTTTTTAAGTTGTTTATTTCGGGCCTAAAGCAAGTGTGGTTATTAGAAGGGCTAGTAGGACCTACGTTGTATTTTCCTTTGCCAGCACCTGACGCTCTCCACCAAAGCCACTGGGTGAGATCTTTGAGTTTTCATTAACTTGACACTTTATCAGATCAACAACTTTAATAGAGCACCGTAGTTCGTGCCTTGACCACAACAGTAGCCTACCCAAGATGCTTTACGAGTGCAACACAAAAGTGCACGAGAGAGATTGGCAACGACCAGCGCCCTATGATAGGACGCTGGGTAAGTTTGGAGCAAAGCAAAATGTCCTCACTTGGTATGGCGAGCCAGCTCGTGCATACTCTTGGCAATCTCCATCATGACCTCCAGGTCGCCCACCATATCCAGGTACATCTTGTCGGGAGAGGGCGCCCTCATCTCGGCCTGGGTGATTCCCGTGGGACGGGCGTGGTGGGCCGGCGGGGGACTCCCCGGGGGGCTGGGAGGGGGAGGGGGAGGATCGGGTGAGATGGACGGGGGAGGGGTCAGGGTGCTGGTGCTTGCCTCGTCGAAGCTGTCGCTGCCTCGTTCCTGCTGGTGGTGATTCCCGGAGAGGTTGTGGTTGGCGAAGATGCGGTCTGGGGAGGAGGCTGACCGGACTAGAGGCGGTGATCTGCCATGCTCTTCTTGCTAGTGTCACGAGAAAAGAGGTATTATTCTAATCTCTAGTTGCCGTAAAAGCTTGCAATGGGACTTGACGCAGCAGCTATCTCTCAAAGGCATCGCTTGTATGCGTGAGCAGATTTTGCTTAGTCCGTCTCGATAAGCTTATAATAATTTGCAAATGGCCCAGATAGGTAGCCTGGACTCCCTTACCGCACTACGTACGGAGGTCAGTCGTAATGTAATAAAGAGACCGTCCAACCTGGTTATGGGCTACCAAATAACCCTATTTAAAACGACCTCTTATCTGCGAAAGTAGCTTACTAAAGTCTTAATTCAAAAAGGATTTAGTATAAACAGAGCGAGTTTATACCGTAAGCTACGAGACTCTTTGGTCCAGTGGCAGAAGGCCTATCAGTATCACAAGTTCAAAGATGTTGGCCCCTATCGATTTGTTCTGTATTCCTACCTCCTCCATAGCGCAGTGGATGCTCTCCACGGTCAGTCCTTGGTACATGTCCTCCAGATCATCGGATGGTTCCGGAGAGGAGGGATAACTGATCTCGGGCGCCAACGCTGGGGCGTCGAAATTCTCCATAATCTGCTCCTTTTCACTGATTATAGAAATAGATCACTAGTTTTTGATCAGCTTTAGTCGAAAGAAAACTTTGGAATGGTCAAACGCTGCGTCCGTTCTGTACGCGCGGCGTTTTGCCTTTGTTGAGGAAATTTGGCGCCCGCGTTGCATGCACGTGGCCCGGTGTCGTGCCAAAAACCGTCCGGTGCCAAATAGTGTCCGCTAATTAGCATAATGCGATCTGATTGGTAATGCGTCTATGACGTCACATTGTTTACGGACGCTTGCCAAATAGTGTCCGCGCTCAGTGTGCATCCTATTGCGTGCCTTGTCGAGCTGTCAATACTCGTATAGAAAAGATCTCTTTTCACCTGAATTTGCCTTTTACAATCTGTTTTAACGTTTTCCTTGTTATCTGTGATAACTATCTGACTTGGTTTCCCTAATATTATATTTGTGCAAAATGTTTGTGTGTTTTTTCGCGTCAGTTCACCTGTTTGGCATGCAGTACGTACGTAGGCCTAACGCCGTGTGAAGTGTGTGTAGTACGTATTGTGCTGTGTGTAGCATTATAACAACGTTATATTTTACGGTTTCTCCCACCTACTGTCCGATTTTTCCTGCCCAATATTGTCCGATTTTTCCTGCCAAACTGTCCGATTCCTCCTGCCAAATATTGTCCGATTCCGCCCTGCCAAATACTGTCCAATTCTTCCAGCCGAATACTGTCCGATTTTTCCTGCCAAACAGTGTCCGATTCCCCCTGCCAAATAGTGTCCGATTTCCCTGCGAAAAAAATGTCCGATTTTTCCTGCTAAATATTGTCCGATTCCCCCTGCCAAATATTGTCTGATTCCCCCGCTACTGAACATTGTCCGATTTTTCCTGCCAACAAATACTGTCCGATTCCCCGCCCTGCCAAATATTGTCCGATTCCCCCTTGCAAAATTCTGTCCGATTTTTTCTGCAAAATACTGTCCGGCAGGACGTACGTAAGCGCGCCCTTGTTCTCGCTCGATCGACGGCGCCCGGACACTATTTGGCATGTATTACATGCCAAATAGTGCCTGGCGCCTACTGCGCATGCTCAGCGGACACTATTTGGCACCGGTGTCGCGGTCTCGCTTCTCCGGCGTGCTGGATTCTCCGGGTGAATGCGGCGGATAATTGAGCACGTTACAGTGCACGTTACATGAGCACGATACATGCTCATGCATGGGCGTCGCGAGGGGGGGGGGGGCAAAGGGGGGCACTTGCCCCCCCCCCCCCCGGAACAGCAAAAAAAAAAAAAAAAAAAGGAAGAAAAAAAAAGAAAAGAAAAAAAAAAAGAAAAAGAGGCGCGAAGACAAAGTGGTGTAAATTTAATGAGTTGGGGGGGGGGGGGGGGCAAAATGTCCCTGCCCCCCTCTAAAACTGATAAATCGAGAATGTGTTGAGAAATACAAGCATTTTTTGGCAAAATTTTTTTGCCCCCCTCTAGAAAAAATCCTGGGGACGCCCATGTGCCCATGTGTCCGCTGTGCTTACTTTTCCTCGGGCGGTGCTATGGAGTCTACCAAGTCCACCCAAGAATGTGTTATGTAACACTTCCTGTGGGTCAAGCTTAAAGAGGACTGGAGTATTTTGCCTGGGTCATTCCATGGTCTTGCAACAGCGTGGGTGTGTACATGTGTGTATGGAAGAATAATTAAGAACGAACTCCTTAGTCTGTTCATGGCTCCTTGGTCTGTGAAAGGTCTGTGTTCCTTGCTCGTTCGTGGTTGTCTTTATTTTTGCAACCATGTGTATCCTTCACATCTTTACATTTTACAGTGTATTGGGAGTTCCGCGCGCCACGAAAATTCTGGATTCGACTGGTACCTTGTAACGTATACATTTGTACATACAAATATCCAAAGATCTCACGTGCACCCGTACAACCCCAAAGGACTCAGCACACAATAACGTTGGCGAAATGTACACTACTGCGCAACTTGCGCATGCGTGTTTAGGCGAAATTTCCCTCTGCGGAGAAGCTAGCACGCCGGAGAAGTGAGACCGTGACACCGGACGGTTTTTGGCACGACACCGGCCCGCGATTATGTGCGTACGTTAGGGGCCATGCGCCAGTTTGTCAAAAAGGCAGCCTTTGTGTAAAATGACCCATCTGTTTAATTGTGGTTAAGGACAAACCTCGCAATAATACTTTTTATCTGAGAACTAGTTTCCTTCCCTAGTTATATGTTTTCAAGTTAAGTTGGGAGACAAAGTTGTCCCAGTTTTGGGGATACTCTGCGTTGTTTTTGTTGAATTAAATATGATTTCGAGCGGAAGACGCTACGGTTTGGGATTTTCAAATTTAATTGCTCGACCATTCTTCTTGATGTTTTATACTTCGTCTGTGAAACATCACACTGAAGCAATGAACAGACAACATTTCAGGTTCATAAAAGAGATATTTCTTGAGACAAAGTTATCCGCGATTTTGGGGGACAAAGTTTGGTTGTCGTGTGTCGAGTAGTGAGCCACCATGCGTCGACTTAAGTCAAACCATGACTACCGCCACCATGTGACGATATTTTGCCAACAATAATACGAGAGAGAGCTTTTTCACTGGAAGAAGAGTGCAAAGAACTCTTAAAACTTTGCATAATTTGTGAGTGTTCCGGATTTTATTTTTTTCAAAATGTGTGATAGTTGTAAAGTTAACATTATATAGTGTTATTCTTAATCATGTTTGATCGAGAGTAATGAATTTATTGGCCTAAAATAGCGCAGAATTTGAACAGTTTACCTTGGATACAGTCTTGACAACATGCCGTGGCTAGTGGCACTCGATCAAGCCTTTTTTTCTTACTTCGTGTTCTTCTTTAAATCGCTTCAGTAGATTGAAAGATGTTAACGAAGAAAGGAGCATACAAGTTGCTGAAGAATGTGCATTTTCCAGGTAAAGCCCTTTTTGCCTTGTCATATTATTATACTTTTTTGTAATGTTAGATTTTTTTCTTTTCATTTAGGGTTCCTTTGGGGGGGGGGGGGAGGGGCTGGAAGGGGGATGATGTTGTGCACAAAGTTTTGCCTGAAAGATTTTTTTTATTGAGGATTGCTGTAGTAATGCACTTTTACTGTGTGTGAACTGACTGTTTTCCATGCATGTCTTTTCTTTGACTGAACAATTGACGTTTTCTCTAAAAAAAACCTGGTGTTTATACTGATAATGAATTAATTTAACATAGAAAAAAGGAAAACAATGTTTTTACCGATATCAAATTTGACAGGGGAGGAGAATACCCTCCGAGACCTCAAGTTAGCGGCAGCCGGCAAACAGTCTCGTCGGGCTCTAATCCGTCAGAAGACACCATCGGCAGAACGTAGCTCAGCAGCCGTCATTGAACTCCAGCGAGTATGGAGAGGCTACTGGACCAGGTCAGAGATAGTTACCGTGATCTTATAGACAAATTCAGGCACAGAATCACTGTATATGTAAGGTGTATAATGGTAGGGTGGTCCCCAGTAACAGCAGAAACATTGTGTTAGCTGTTGTACAAAACAACTGCTCCATGATGTTTTATCCCAACACAAATCTTTTCCTTTATTTGTCAAGTAATTGCACTCACTTTTTAAATAAAATTGTGATCAAATACACATCTCCAACTTCATGGGACAAAACCGTTTCAAGGAAAATTGGTCCATCCAAGAACAAACCATATGTTCTCTTGAGTTCATTTTTATGACCTAAACTGTGCAAGAAAACACTGTTTCATAATGACAGTTTGAAAACTGACTTTTAGCCAAGTGTTGTTTTGGCAAAATTTATATTATCTTGCTGGATTTTGTGTCCTTCCAGGACATAAATTTTAGGGTTAACATACCATATTTTATTGGGAAAATTGGCACTTTTGTTGATTTCAAGTGTTCGTGGCAAACTTTGACAAATCCGTATAATATCTCTAAATGATTAATTGTTTTAACAGGTGTCGCCTCTTTGAAATCTTGAATCCGACGATCAGCACTCGGGTTCACCAGACAGGAAGTCGCTTTGTAAACAGCGAGCAAGGGCTGAGGGATGTCCGGACCACGCCCTCCAAATCCCCCGAGAAATCGATGTCAAAGGTCACACATATCCCATCCAAGGTGCGGCTAACACTCAAATTGATAATCGTTGGAAAGGATGGAAAAAGAAAAGGGCGAACTGAGGTTGGACAAATATGTCACATTTTCCATAAGGCAATTTCTTCTGTAATCAACAGTTTAAAAACAAATCCTGGAAAAGACAAAACCAAACTCTAGTTCCCTTCTGAACTGAAATTTATTGAACGTGTCTAACATTAATATTTAACTTTGTCAAGTTGGGGGCAGAAGCCATATTTTTGCCAATTTTTATTTTTTTTTTGTTGTTATGGGTCATGAAAATACGCTGATCAGACTATAATTTGTTTTCATGGCTGAAAAGTCAAAGCTCGAAATTTGCATAAATTGATGGAAAACGTATTGGTTGGATTGTCAGACTGTTTGATTAATGATGACATGTTCCCAAGTCTGTTCACCTTCCTCTATTTTCACTGGGAACATATTTTCATGTTTGTAGGAGTCTATTCACAGTAAGGTGTCGACTGTTAAAACCGTCAGTGCTCGGCAGCGACTCGAAGGATACTATGAGAAATACTGCCATCGCAAGAAGACAAAAGGGGAAACAGACATCATATCGTAAGAACTTGCTGTAAATTCTAACTCGTGCACGACTGCCTAATAACCAGACAACATGGATGTATCACTTGGCATGTATTAAAACTGCAGGGGCTTTTTTGCAAGGTAGAAACTGCTTCTATTTCTAGGACATCAGTCCACATCATATTTATTTTGGCCGACTTGCACTGGCTATCTATCCAACAACGAGTCAACTATAGAGTACCGAAGTGTGAGGTCATTTAGAACCACGAAGTGTAGTGCAAACAGATGGAGTACGCATGCGTGTTGGTTCACTGGCTGAATCACGCGCTAATGTCTTTTACTCACATAATTGTCCGCGTGATGTATTCACTTCGGTACTCTATAAATTGTGCCTCATCATCTTCAAGACCTTACAAGGTGACGCTCCAGCATACTTAAGCGATCTTATCCAGCTCTAAGCCCCGGGGCATCGGGGCTTACGATCCTCACAATAGAAACTCCTTAAGGAAATCTGGCTAATCATTGATATGGGGGGGGGAGAAGCTTCCAGATTGCAGCACCAAGACTTTGGAATGTCCTACCTGAAATTGGGAGACTTTCAAATTCACTTGGCACATTCAAGAACAGTTTCAAATCCTACCTGCATAGGGAAGCATTTGGTTGACTTTGGTTTCTACTTGTTTGCTTGACGATGCCGTCTTTTTTTGTTTTTATTGATGGAGCGCGACGATGCATCTTGACAGGTAGAGGGTCGAGTCCACCAGGTGCTTCTTTATTCTTATTGTTTTCTGGTTGTTGTGCAGTGCAGCGCCATGAGCGTCGCTTGCGTTGGATACCGTTGCCTTATAAATTTTTATTTGTTATTATTATTATTTCTGCCAAAAACCATCACTGTGAGGATGTTAGGTTATATCAGACGTTCGACCGTGGCTCTGCACATGTAAATGCCTGATCCTCTGATTAATGGAAACCATGGAACCCCGTTAAAGGGATCTGAGAGATTAGTTTGAAGAACAACTGAAGGTGGTCAGAGAAACTGACCGGAACGTCGAGTTTATACCTCTGGTTCTTTTCAGAACCATTCTCTTAGTTGAGAAATTATTCGCACATGGTGTTTCCGCAAACCTTTCATTCATTAACCCTTAATAACTTTTACCCTTGATGTACCCCCCCCCCCTCCCCCGCCCCCTTTAGGTTTGAAGAGTTCTGCGCCCACTACATCCAGAATTGGTGGCACCGGATCCAACGCCAGCGCTCCGTGCTCAGCACGGGGCAGCCCCACCAAGGAGTCCAGTCGGTCACCATCTCCCTCTCGCCAGAGCCGAGCCGGAAGGGCGTGCCGCTGATGTCCGTCAAGATGCAACCCAAGAAGAAAGAGAAGAAGAAAAAGAAGAAGAGGACGTACCCGTTGGATCCCAAAGAAGCTGCCAAGATGATACAGCGAGCTTGGAGGAGGCACATTGTAAGATTTGTTCTTATTTAAGTTAAATTTAAGTTTCCCACCTTAAATGCTGGGCCGTGCTGAGTAAGAATTTCTTGTTTGTGTTTACTTTGTTTCAAAATCACAAGTAGCTATTCATAACAAGTAGAAAAAGGCATCGGCATCCCATCCTTAAAGAAAGAATTATTCTCAGTTGTTTCATGCCAAGGAAACTGGAGATAAATGCCAACTGGATGAGCCATATTGTCAAGGAATGTTTTTTTTTCATTTTCTTCGTCATTTTTCCAATGCAGGATGTGCAGGTCTACCGTTACTACCGTGACCTCATCAACTTCCGTTGCCGTGGCGATCCTAGCATGATGCTGCGCTGCATCAATCCAAAGGAGGCTAAGCTCTTGGACGCGGCGGCAGGCATCCACATCAAATTCCGGCTCGCTGGCGTAAGTCATGTCAAGTTCTCTCTGTTACTTCATTGTTGAGTCAAGCCCATAATATATCCATCACAATACAATCACAAGTCCTCACAAGTCAATTACAATTCGATCAAAAGCCCTTCACAAGTCTATCCACAAGTCCTCTAAATTCCTCATCACAAGTCAGACACATGTCAATCACAAGTCCTCACAAGTCCATCACATGTCAAGCGCACAAGTCAATCACTAGTGTCAATCACGAGTCCATCACAAGTCCATCTCACATGTCCTCACAAGTCCGTCACAAGTCCATCACAACTCTATCACATGTTCATCACAAGTCCATCACATGTTAATCGCAAGTAAATCACATGTCCATCACGTGTCCTCACAAGTCCATCACATGTCCATCACATGTCCTCACATGTCCATCACAAGTCCATCACAAGTCCATCGCAAGTCCATCACAGGTTCTCATAAGTCAATCACAAGTCCATCACATGTCAATCACAAGTTAATCACATGTCAATCACAAGTCAATCACATGTTCATCACATGTCCATCACAAGTCCATCACATGTCAATCACAAGTCAATCACATGTCAATCACAAGTCAATCACATGTCCATCACATGTCCTCACATGTCCATCACAAGTCCATCACAGGTCCTCACAAGTCAATCACATGTCAGTCACACGTCCATCACAAGTCCATCACATGTCAATCACAAGTCCATCACAAGTCCATCACATGTCAATCACACTTTCGGTGTTGTTTATAGAACATTGTAGTCTACTAGAGATTGGTTTTGCATATTTCATATTTAAAAATGCAATCATTCATTTCTTCTTTTTTTTTTTCCTCAGGAGCGTTTCCCGCCCAACATCTACTACAAGATCTACACTCACCGCAACGTGGTGGACATGTGCGCCAACAGCCCTAAGGACTACACGGCAGCACCGGCAAAGCGACGCGCAGCAAAAGACGTCCACAACAACAACGTGAATGCCGGCAAGAGCCACGGGGACGAGAGAGAGGGGTGGTACAAGAGGATGGAGAACAACGGGTGGAGGCTGGTATCGGACAGGGTGAGTTTGCTTGAATTGTTTAGTCAGTTACTCAATTAATTCCTCAGCCCCTCACTTTCTTAGTTGGCAACTCAACGCCTGTTTGTTTCGCACGAATCTTGATCTGGCTCATGGATCTCAGCCTTCTTAGGAATCCTTCCTGATATGTTGATCAGCGTGAGATTGAAAATGGTGACAAACGAAACGACGTACAACATTTATCGTCTCCAAGTTTACTTTTGGCCAGTCAAGTGATTTGATAATCTCCCTTCTGTTCTTGGAAATGCAAATGAACGATTTTTATGAAATGTGGTATATCAGTAGAAACATTTTGTGTTTCTACTGACATTTGTCAGACAAAGGATTTTGTGCTAAAATTGTTAATATTCCATGCTTCCCTTCATAAAATATGAGTGCCTTTTTCTATACACAGTCAATGGAAAACAAAAGCCTTTTGGTACCCTGCGACAGAAAATTCAACATTTTGCTTGAACACTACGTCTGATATTTATGAAATTGGTTTCAAAAAAGGTCTGCAAGATATAAGTTCACAAGCTCATTCAGGCTTATTAGAAGAAAAATCGGGTGGCACTGATATTAAAAAAAGTACAGGAGAGGAGGAAGATAAAGAACTGAAGCATTTCAAAGACATATCAACAAACACAAAAATATTTATTTCATGTTGTTTTACAGTTGTTACTTCGGCCGGAGCAGGACCCGGTCACATGGGAGACCAGTAACAAGAAAGTGGACTTCCATCACGCCAAGCTACAGAGGAGGCAAGACGTTGAGAAGAAGAAGAAGCAACGCAAAGTGGAATGGATGAAGAAAATGTAAGTCGCTACCCCACTTTGACTCTGTTTGCCAACTGAAAAAATTGTCCAAAAAGTCATGCTACGGAAAGATTGCAAGACTGCAGCAGCTACGATATGCACTTGTGTAATACCTCCCCCCCCCCCCACCCCTCCCCCCCCCCAGATATTCAAAAGAATTCCTGAGATTCTGGTAAAACAATAACCAACACAAAAAAGGGGGCGGGGAGTCCCCCTGTCACATATCGTGCTACATATAGGCCCTGGATGTAATTTTCTTTTGAAACCCATTAGAAATTTGACCCCTTTTCACAAAAAGACTCAAAAAGTATTTGTATATTGCTTCCTGCATTAGGTATCGCGAAGGCATGCTTCAGGCCAAGACCGAAGACTCGGACACCAAGTCGCTGGTAGAGGGCGCCGCAGCTGGCATGGTGGCCGCCATTGAGAGCCAGGGGTCAGAGGTCGTGGAGGAGTGGGAGGTCGACGAACTCTTGGAATGGACCAGCGGCCTGAACTTTGACGAGTGAGCAACTGTTGTTTGTACAAAGACAGCGTTGATTTTCTTGCGAGACATTCTCGGTGCACGCCTGTCGGAGTTTGCTTGTTTCCTTAAACATTCCAGTCTGGTCTGATTTCCAAAAATGCTGATTGCCTTGTCCAAGTGAATTAAACCCCCTCATTCAGATGTGCGTGCCTGCGGTTGTCAGTTTTTCCTCGAGCAGATTGACAAAGAATTCCATTTCAAGATTTTTTGTATGCCATTTCTGAAACTTTGGCTTCATGTCCAGCTTTGGAGTCCAACTTCCTGATATTAGGTCCCAGACTTACACTAGATTTCAGCTCACAAATTTGATATTTTTCTGCAGCAGGAAAAGTCAAAACCTTTCAAATTTAGCCTCAAGTTTTGTCTTTTTTTACTTCAAAATCTTGCTACAAATTAAGTTCATATATTAAACTTGAGGTTTTCAAATGGTTCAAAGAATCTGAGATACGGCTTGAGCCCAAGACAGTGTCAAGACTTCAGGAATGGTCATGATTGTAGATGATTCGTTTTGAAAAATGAGGTTGAATTTTCAAACTTTCTGTGAGTTTATTTTGTACAAATTATGAAATCATTGCTCTTTGTTTTAATTTACAGTTATTTGTCATCGTGGAAAGAGCTAGCTACAAGTTCCGGCTCAGAGAAATTTGTTGGTAAGTAGATTTTTTTTTCTATTTGTAGAAATATTTCTGTAAATTGCATCTGATTGCATTCCTACAATGTTCATTTATGAAAAGTCCGAAGATTAATTTTCTGCAACTGTGTAGCTTGGCTATAGCCAAATTGATTTTGATGACTGGAATTTCTTTTTTTCATTTCATATGTTACAGAAGAACGATTAAAGTTTGAAACGACAAGCAGAGATCCCTACGAGTTCAGCATAACTGTAGACGCCATGCCGACGCCGTCCAGACTAACCTCTCTCCAGCCGCCAAAGACGTCGCCAGCAGTCTCCGTGCAGTAAAGCAAGTACTGATTTCTATATTATTAGTATAGACTCAGCCTTGATGTGGAGGCTAAGCCTTCAAACACTGATTGGTCCTTCCATCTTTGGGTACAGTGCTGAGATTGCAACACCAAATATGGCCTTGTTTTTAGGGTTTTTTCTAAAAATTGTAATAGAGAAAGGAAAACCTTTTGTTCCCAGCAATTTGAAGGGATTTCGTTCTTTCTTTGTTTTCAAATTTATGTTGATGCAAATCTATGTCCATATAATTTGTTCCATTTCATATTATTTTTTTGAAAATTGATTTACACTCTTATTGCCATTCAGTTTTTTTATGATTAATTTTAATTTAAGGGTTAAAAAATATCCCAACTGATAAACAATTTGAAAATACACAGAAAGACTCGGAGACAGCTTATAAAAAATCTTGACATCAGGCTTTTTAAGGATTATTTCGGAGTATCGAAGTTTGGGTCTACTAAATTACCCTCTTACACGTATTTTTTGTTTTTTGTGTGTGTGGGGGGGCTCCATTTTTTTTTATTAAAAATGTTTGATTGTACATGTATTTATTTATATTTAATTTCACAAGGAATATTTTGGTTTGTATATAATCATTCTGTTCACTAAAATCTGTACAATATTGTGTATGCTTCCTTCGTCCACGGCAAAAGTGAAAAAAGTAATAAATGTTTTTCTAAAATTAAACATCTAAATATCAAACAGAAATCTTTAGAAAATGTCTGTTTCTTTTGTAAATGTTCACGTAACGTCAGTCAGTGATTGTTAATAACATTTTGGTAAATGATCTCAATCACTTTTGTTTTCAAAAGAGACCATTTTGAACAAATTTGAAATAATTTTTGGAGGAAGTATAACAGTTAGTCACCAAACAAAAAGACAAACACCCCAACAAACCAACAGACAGACAAACACCCCAACACCCACCCAACCAACAAACAAACCAGAAGTGCATGTGAGCATCAACCAAGAAAATGACACAGCGTTTGACAGAATGTGTTTTTTAAAAGAGCGAGATGTTTTATTGCGAGCGAGAAGAGACAAAAAATATCAAGCCAGGTCCTTGTTTTTAACTGCACCTACAAAGGTGCTCGTTGTAACCCAGGCCCCTGTTTAAACTGCACCTACAAAGGTGCTGGTTTTAACACAGGCCCCTGGTTAAACTGCACCTACAAAGGTGCTCGTTTTAACCCAGGTCCCTGGTTAAACTGCACCTTCAAAGGTGCTGGTTTTAACTCGGGTCCTTATTTTAACTGCACCTACAAAGACTATCCATATTACACAAAGCATTATCATATACATAGGAAGAGCATGCAAAAAACTCATTAGCAGCAAATTTATAGATTATCTCATCTTTGTAAGAAACACAGGGATCTAATACACAATGCATCATCTTTCATGAGTGTTTATAATTTATCTCGAGACTATATTACAAGTCAGTGCGCAGGAAAAATAGCCGATATCAACTTCTACGTGCCTCCAACTCATTAATAGTGCATTAATACTTTGGGAAGACATAAGCAAGCAATTTAAGCATTACCCAAAGAAAATTCTATAAAAATTACGTGCTGTGTACTACTCACCATGCTTTTTTTACAAACTGAACTCTTTTTTTTACTATTTTATTCTAAAGTCTTTAATAAAATACAATCACTGAAGCGTGAAGTTCCTCATAAATTAAATTTACTGCTTTTTTTTTTGCTGGTTCTGAACTGGAAAAATGGTGATCGTTACATGTGATGGTTCAATAAATTCATCATAACTTTAGAACAGTGCGACACTTTCTCTGTTTGAGGGAACAGGTTTAAAAATTGTGATCATCTAGGATATGAAATTCCCAAACTTCATTCAATATCAAAAGGAAGTGTAATTTAGAGTCCAAAAACTGTTTGTTTTTTGGGGTTTTTTGTTTGTTTTTTCATTTCAATTTTTTGAATGTGCCTCTTTCCTCCAGTAATGATGAACTTACCTCCCAATTTGCAGAAATTGTGAAAGCATTTACCCAAAAAGGTAACATACGTTTGCTTATTTGGGGGTGTTTATGCCAAAATTTATTTTGCTATAGCTAGGTTGATTTTCAAACCAGGCACTTTTTTTTAAGATACCAGTTTGTCACTGGTGAATTCGCAAACCAGTCAGCAAATGGGAAAATGGTGTGTGTTAGCTGAAAAGGTGAATGCATCAAAAGCACAGGGGTGCATTGAAAAGTTCTTAAGCTTTTAAGCTTTCTAAACTGGTACAATAACCATATTTAGATGAAACTTTTTTTTTTGATACTCTTTGGCAACAGAAAAGGTGCTTTTCAAATTATTATGAATGCTAGTTTTAATGGAAGTACTGAGAGCACTTAAGTACAAGTTCTTACAGTCAGATGAAACTACAAAGAAGTCATTAAAGGGTCGTATGTTTATTGCCTGCAATTGTTTCAATTGTTGTCATGCATCTACAAGCTTTCAAAACAGTGTTTAATTCAGGAATAACTTAAATATTCTCCTTGCTTCTCCCCAATTCCATTTCCTCTTGTTTAATAAACATAAAATTTAACAAGCTAGAACAAATTACAGCGTGTCCCAAAATACCCGCAGAATTGTTTTGTGAGGCTCTAGCGTTGCTACGGAAACACGTACCGCCATTATTTCAGTTGCGGATATTTTGGGACGCACTGTACACAGAGTCAGTGTAGCAAATCTACAAGTGAAACCTATTATAACGTGACTAATTTGTGTTACATTTTGTTGTAAATTTTTTTCGTAGCGATATCTCAGTTACCGTATTATTCCTCTTTTGTTTACATTATTTCGGAGCCGTTTTGTCTAAAGCTTGTTTCTCTAATTGACGATTTGTCGGGGTGCGCCAAAGCTCTGTCCCTTCTGAGAGGCGCCCTTGCTAGAACCCATCTGAAGTGAGTGGACGTGTTTCCCGGCGTCCATTTGTTCCTGAGAGAACTCACGCTTGTGCTCGACGGATGCTTTGGGGCCCAGGATGGGGCCCTTGTAGTCCGGGTCATCACTCTGCAACTAAAAGTGGGAGGAAAGATACACAAGAGCGGAGATGTTAAGAAGGAATGTGAGCTTTTGAGACAATATGGTGAGCATCTGAAACAAACACTGCAACATTGATGACAATTTAGCACATTGTGATGGTTGCAGAACATCTTGCATCAGTACGGATTCTCAGTTCTAAAGTCAAGTACACAAGCTGTTTTTATTGGCTTGTTAAATGGAGTAGTGACTTTGGGTTGAGATGAAATGAATGAAACATAATCTTGTTGCAGCCTTACTCTAAAGGGCAGCTTGGAGACAATGATTGTATAATTTGAGGTGTGTTGGTTGTTGGGTACAATCTGATGTTGTGTACAATCTGATGGGTCAGACACGAAAATATGAAAACACTTTGGAAACAGCGAATGAGATTTGATGTTTTGAAAAAGGCAGTGTCTTTCTGCTGTAATTTAATTTATTGTTCAGAATCAACTTTTTATCTCCATTAGCTATTACAGTAAGCCCCTTTCTATTGCATTAGACTTCCAATTGTTTGTGTGGTTTGTTTTTAAAGAAAAATAATCAAAATGTTGTAACGCTATAAAGCTGAAATGGATCTGGACCTGAAATAAAAGACACATTGATATCATTAAAACATGGAATTATCTCTAAAGCACAAGTTAAAAGTGAAGCTGTTGCACTTCGTCAAGGCAGCCTTCTGCATTAAAATATCCTTTAAAAATATTGAGTAGGGCAATTAGTGCTCTGAAGATTTGTTTTCAATCTTTTGTTTAAGAGCTCTTCAAGTTCAAACTGTAAGAGATATATTTTTTTTTATCTGGGGAGAACAAAGTTTCGGTGAAGGGGTAGTTACGCTTCGACAGTGATACCTTCCTCACCTTCCACCACTGTGACCCAGGTTCAAGTCCCACCTAGGCCAGCAAGAGCATTTAATAATGTTGTGCTTATATAGCGCTTTATACCAAAGGTCTCAAAGCGCTTCACAATTATTACCCCTGTTCATCAGGCCATGAGACCAGTTTTTGCAGGAGCTCGAGATCAGCGCATTCTAGTCTCTACCTGCACAGGTACCCATTTATACACATGGGTGGAGAGGGCAATTGTAGTACAGTGTCTTGCCCAAGAACACAAGTACCACGTTCCCCGTTAGGGTTCGAACCCACGTACCACGGCACATGAGTCGAACACCGTAACCATTGGACCACAGGTTTTGTTAGTCTCTTCCTGATTCTGTGGATTTTTGCCGGAATGTCCTCCTTGGGTTTGTTTCCCATTTCTAAAAAACTGAACATTTCTTCATCCTTTTGTGTCTTTAGGTTTCTTCACTTTCCAAGCTACAGTGCTGTTGCACTTTTGAGGAATCTTTCGTCTCATTGACAGAAATAACTTTGAAGTAAGGTGAATTGATAATAAGTTCAATTCAAGCTAGAGTTTGATTTTCAACTCGAGTCAAAAATAAGATGGAACTTTTTTTCGGGGGGGGGGGGGGATTTAAGTAAGATAGAAAAACATGATACCGTACTAACATCCTCTTAATTTGTGACTTGTGTGTTCTTTTTTTGTTTGTTTAATTGATGATTTGTCTGGGTGCGCCGAAGCTCTGTCCCTTCTGGTTTGCTCCCTTGTTGGAACCCATCTGAAGCGAGTGGATGTGTTTCCCAGCATCCAGCTGCTCTTGTGTGAATACTCTCTTGTTCTCGGCGGACGCTTTGGGGCCCAGGATGGGGCCCTTGTAGTTCGGGTCGTCACTCTGCAACTAAAAGTGGGAGGGGAAAGAAAAAAACAAGAGCGGAGATGTGTAGGAGGATTGTGAGATTTTGAGACAACTTTTTGTTTGTGGTAGTGAGGTGGAGTGCTGGTTAGTTGTCTCCCTTTGCGGTGGAGGGAGGAGGTAAGATGGTTGATGGTGTCGAGAAGCTAATGGGTGAAGCTACTGGGCTGGGTGAAGCTATAGAAAGGGATGCCAACAGAATTACAGGGTTTATGTTACCCCATGACTAAAAAGTTCCCAAAACATCAAAAGTTTATCCCCCAAAAGCATGATTTTTCGGGGTTTTACTGCCAGGTCATAATTTACATTTTGTTAAGAGGTTGAATGAAAATTCTCTTCAACATTTTTTTGTGTACATTATTCATGGATACAGGATGAAACTTTCCAAAATGAAATATGAAACCCACCCTCTTAATCTTATTTTCTTTTCCTTTATCCTGTTTTTTTTTGGGGGGGGGGGATTGACAAAATCGCCAGAGCTCACATTTTCCCCCCTTTGGATACTGTACAGTGTCTCTTTTTCAGACATATCACCCACTACGGTCCACCCCGACCCCACCCAACCCACCCCCGCCCAGGCGCCCACCCATGCACCCTCGAACCCAACCCTGGTGACACCCTCAATGAGTGAACGATAGGATGAAAGCAGGACAAAAACAGCTACACTGTTGTGAAACATCTGAGGGAAAGATGGACAGAGAGTGAAGCAATTGGAGAAGAAAAAGAAGAAGAAGTTATGTTTGATGGACTAACAGAACGGTTGTCCCACAGAAAAAAAATAACAGTCGAAATCCAGTTAATAAAGGTATATTGCATGTGGGTTTTGGAATATTTTCAAATTACCTCTTCAAGTCAGATAACCAATCTACCATACAAGCTTTATTTCATTCAAATCGATGTGTTGGAACAAACGCTATGCTTCGTCGAACTCAAGGGTTGAAAATCGTCTTGGGCCACTTTCCTTGAAAGTGAAAAAGCGCAGTTTAGAGAAACACGCAAAGGATTGATTTCCATTTTGTTCAAGAGTAACGTGTGACTTTTTCTACCGGCTTCGATCCGTAATAGTTGATAAACAAAAAAAAAGTGGCCCAAGTGGTTTTTCAAGTCCTGTATTGTGATTGCTGTATCTTTTGAACAAAACATCCCAATGAAAAAGCATTTTGAAGACCAAATATTCTACTCGGCATTATAGACACGATTTTGAATACTACTCCGCTTTTCTGAAACATGCCCGATTCGACTGTTAGGTTTTTTGTGGGACAACCTGTAGAAGACAATTGTGAAGAAGGTAGCGAGTGCAGAACATGGCTGGAAATAAGGAGGGAAAAGCAGAAACAGAAGAATGCAGAAAGAAACACAGACTAAATGAGGTGCAATCGATTAATATTCAAAGGAGGAGAGGCCATGGCCAAAACATATACCAACAGTCACGTACAATCAAAACAACAGGGAAATCAGTATTTTCAAAGAGTTCGTACTTGTCCGCCACATTCACAGAGAAAAGTTTGAGTTGATGATTAGGAAATCATCGGCGTTATGAAATCAGCCACCTCCCGTCTGATCTGAGGGTCCGCCCCGGAAGGGATTAAGCAGAGCATTGCAAAGGTGGATCGGAATAGGGAACGGAAGTAGGGGGACACAAAAGCATCACCCTAAAAAGGGGCGGATCCAGGACTTTTTGCAGAGGGGGTGGGGGTCAGGCCCTTCAGATTTGTTTTAATCGGCAAATCAGTGCTGAAAGCAGGGGCGGCGGAACCGGGTGCACTCCCCCCCCCCCCCGCCCAAATTTACCCAAGTGCCCCTCTTGCGGACTTAAATGTGCCCCCTCAAGCATTAATGTGCCCCCTTCGAGATGAAAACAAAACTGACCCTACAATGTTTTCAATAACCATTTCCCAAAACTGTATAGAGAGTTCTGATATGAACGAAGAACATGAAAACCAAGTCCCAAAACCCTTACAATGCGCCCTGAAAATGGGCACATAATGCGTAGTTTGCATAATGGCCGGTTTTGAAGATCGCCCCCTATTTTGGAAGATGGTACCAGCCCCAAACAACCCCGGCCCTCACCCCACGGGGGCAGACTTACGGGGAGGGGCTGGGATGAGGGTGTTACTTACTTTGCGTCCTACAGCGTAGATGCACTGAGTGAACTGTGGAACGTTCTTGCCCTCAAACAGGTCGTTCACCTGGAAGACGTCTCCTTCGTTTACACCGAACCTCTTGCATCCCTCGATGAATGCCTCCAGGTTTGCTCTCTGCGGAATTGAATCCAGTGAACTCTGTTATTGGTCTTCTCATACAAAAGTTAGGGGGGAGTGTGGCCTAGTGGTTAGGGTTGTGACTCATGATCCACGGGTCACGGGTTCGAATCCAGCAGCTGCTGCATGATGTGGTGCTTATATAGCGCCTTATACCAAAGGTGTCAAAGCGCTTTACAATTATTACCCCTGTTCATCAGACCACGAGACCACTTCTGCAGCAGCTCAATATCAGCGCATATGGCCCGTACCTTCGCAGGTACCCATTTACTCCTGGGTGAAGATAGCAATGCATGACAAAGTGCCTTGCCCAAGGGCACACGCATCCATAACCCCAGGTTGGACTTGACCACCAATCCAATGCCCATCATCCGATCAACCACGAGGCCACAGCACTCCAGCGTTCATCTTCCAATATTGTGTTCTTGGGCAAGCCACTGCACCCCACTTCCACCCAGGAGTAGAAATGGGTGCCGGCATTAGCTGGGCAGTAAGCTGCGATGGGCTGGCATCCCATCCAGAAGAGAAAAACGTTGGCCTTATTATTGGCTTATGTCAGTCTTTCTTCTTTTTTAAACATCCAAAAGCTATTTGCTATCGGAGTGTCAACATTTTTTTATAATTAATTTCACAAATGAACCACAATGGGAAACTGCCCAGGTGCATTATTATAATTTGTAAAAGTTGAACACAAAAAAAATAGAATTTGACTGGAGCGGGGTTTGAACCTTCGACCTCGTGACTACAGTATACCAGTTGGTAGAGCACCAGTATGGTAGCCCGGAGGCCGTAAGTCCAAACCCCGCTCCAGTCAATTTCTTTGTTCAACTTTTCGAGAGAAAAAAATAATTTTGTGTGTTATTGTTGTCCATCTCCCTAGAAAAATTGCCTAAGGAAGTGAGACAAGAAAAATAAATCTAGCAGAAAATATTTGTTGGGCACCTACCATTGAGAAAGGGGTAGTTTTGTGATCGACCTTCACTTTGCTGTCAATTAAACCATTTATTAACCTGCAATGAAAAAGAGCATTTATTTTCAAATATAAGGTATGCTGATAACATTTTAAAAAGTATTTAGTACAGTGAAATCTCGATAAGTCAAGCCTCAAGGGAACAGGTTCCAAATTTGACTTAAGCAGAGTTTTGAGTTAAGCAGGGTTGTATATATCATTGTTATACTACTGAAAGGAATGGATTCTTTGTTTGACCTTGAGTTATCAGAGTTTGACTTATTGACATTTCACTGTATAACATTCAAGGGGCCAGGTGAGAGTAGTTGACAATTATTTGTGCCTTATCTCACACTAACTCTTTATTTTTAAGGTCGGAAATCGTCAGTCTGGAAAAAAAAAGGACATTGGATTGTTTTGTTATTATAATATTTTTCCTCTCGACGTTTGCTTGGGTGTCCCATTACACTCACCTGACTTTCTGTTTGGTTGTTAAAAAGGTGTTTTGTGACCCTTGCTGGTTTTATATTCATATGAATTTGCATATTCATGAGCTCAAAACTTACGTCATCTTGAGCCCCGATTTCATACATTGCTTTCGTCTTTTGATTTTTTTTTAGTTTAACAATTATAATGGTATACCGCCAGGAACCATACAATAGCACATAATGACCAGATATTTTCTTTTATTAAGAACGATTTTTCCAAGTCTTCGCAACTTGGCAGACAGCCAACAGAGCTGTGAAGTTGAATTTGGTGTAGGGCCGGTACGGCTTTCTTTAGGTCGGAGGTTCGATTCCTGCTCTTGTCAATTTCGTTGCTCAGCGTCATGTTGATTAGTCTATAGTTTCTTGACCTCCAGATTCTGACCATTCAGCGGGCGCCTTCTTTACGGTCTTCGGTAACCCGTTGTTGTATTACACACACCAAAAAAAAATGGTATCCAAATTTACCAATCAACGGCTTAGTCCGCATTTCTGATCGAAATGACGTCACAGTTAAAGTCGACTCCAATTGGCTGGCGCGCAGGGTGGCATAAAATTTGCTTTTTAAGGATTACAATCGGACGTTCGCCCGTGTGGCTCTGCAAACGCGAACGTGTGATATATCCTAACCTCCAATTTTCCTCAGACTACATCCGTGCAAGGAACACTAAAAAGTAACTTTGGAAACATAAAACAAACTCTTTGAGTGAGCGGATTTGGCCTTAAGTCTATTTTTTCCAGGGGGAGGGGCGGTGGTTGTTGGGGGGGGGGGGGGGCGGAGGGGGTAACTTTAGGCCTGTGGTCATGGAAGGGTTCTTACTGGCAGAGGACTTTGCCGTCCTTCAGGCATTCACAGTTGTCGAGGTCCAGCTCTTGCACGCCCGTCATCTGCTGGATGAAAACCATCATGTCGTGTTCCTGTGCGTGATCTCTCTTGCCTTCAATCTAGAACGAGAATGGTGGAGAAAATAATCAAATAAATAATAATACTTTTTAAACTACCATATCTCAGAGACAAAATATGCATTTGCAATCATTTTTTCGTTACTTATGTTCAAAGATCAATATTTTAATACCAATTATTGAATTTTAAAATATGCTCAACAAGTAGGTGAAAATTGCTGTCATAAGTTGGTTTCCTTTTTTTTCTCCTTTTTTTTTTTTGCACCACGCTGTAGAGCGCCGGACCCGTGCGTAGAAGCCATGTTGGATAGATTCTTGTGTTGGCAATATCCAACAATGGGAAAATGATATGAATTTTCCCCGTGCAACGCGCGTCCCAGATAATGGCCGTATCTGCAAAGTGACTTACTTGCTGAATAGCCTTTTTTTTAGGGAAAGGATATTTCGCTAAAACTAGCAGACTAGTACAATATTCTGCAACAAAATCTACATTTTCTTCTCAATTATTCAACCGAGTGAAAAAGGTTTTAAAAAACAACCTCTTGAATTAGCTCAATCCTTGAGCCTGATGAGAGAAAGGCCAATCATTTTATAATTAATTAATTGTTACGTAATACTGCGGAAACGATAATCCCTTTATTTGGGGCCAGACGGTTATATGAAATGCATTCCATAGAAAACCACACGCCATATCGTGGTCTCGCAATCCAGCCAACACGGCTGGAAGCACGCCAAAAGCTCGCGCAGCGCAAGATTGTTTGCCTATATTTGGCGCGGCGCGGCCATGGTCGGGCCCCGACAAGTACAAGTCCCGTCTGGAAGCCAGGCTAGCTGACCCTCGAATGCCTGGCATAGCTAGCTGCGTCTTCAGGTATCGTTGTCGATACCAGAGACTGATCAGAGAACGAACTTCACAATATTGAAAGATCGGTATGCGGTTACCGATGTTGAAAAAATATATAGTGGAAAATTGATATTATAACATTCAATATTGATAATCGATATGACCGAATTGAAATAAAATGGCTCAGCTTAAAGATTATATTTGTAGCCATGCTAATCGATATTCTCACGATAAAGCAATATCGACCTAATCGATCAATCAATAATTAAATATATTTATTAAAACGTATTCATTATAATTAATCATATCTTCCAATACTTATTCATGAAATAACAAAAGGTGTACGAAAAATGACTCTGATTTGAGCATTATCTAATTGTCCCGTTCGTTTATAATTACATGGACATGCATCTGTGTCTGTCAAAAATTTTAAGAAAAAAAATAACATTTTATCAAAACTTGTATAGAATATATTCATCAGATGGAATTTGCGTCGGAGTGATTTAAATTTAATATCAGGCTTCACCGTCGAATGGTAAGACGTCTGCACTAGAAAGCAGGAGGTCGTGGGTTCGAGTCCCACCCGAGTGATTTTTGCCAACTATCACTCGGGAGGTAACACACTGGGTATACAGTGTTTATACGTCGGTGAAGGGCACAACCTAATATTAAATGTATAGAATATATTAAATCAAAATCAAAAACAAATAAAATTTTCCAATTACTAAAATACTTAGTCCATCATCTTCCCTTTTCCATACCATTTATTACCTCCAAATGCAATCAGTCCCGTCCCTGGATACCGGTTTCGCATACCCGGGGAAAAAACATTCCTGGCCACATCTAAACAGGCCATCAATCACGAACCAATTAAGAATTGATCCGTCCCGTTCGTTATTTATTCCTCTTCATATTTCCCTGTCATCTCGTCGAGTTATTGAAAGAATAATGAGCTTGAATGCAAAAGTCCTTCATGTGCAGATGGAATTTGGACTTTTTGTAAACTACGTGTTTTTTAATAATGCGGTCAAGTTAACTAATCCTCACCCAGTATTGACATTATTGCACAGCTCTTATGGAAATCATGTTATATTTCTTTTGTACGATATTTTCATATTAAAACAAAATACAATTTGAAAATTACAAAGAAAATATCTGCTTCGTCCTGCGTTCCCATTGTGCATTTGGTGCTATAGTGTTTATAAGCTTGTCTGTCCGTCGGACTGTTCTTTCTATAAAAAAATTTTTTAAAAGAAGTCAAAATTAGCAATCAACCAATTAATTTAGTCCATTGATGTACTGTTCGCAGAAATCATAGCTCCATGACGCATCGACGCTTACTTGTTCGATGCCACAATGAATTAATTCATCAATAGATTTGTTTTACCGCAACTTGAGATCGATGGTTAGTTGGTCAGTCGGTCGGCCGGTCTGTTGGTTGGTGGGTTTGGGTGTTTTAAAGAAATATTGTGGATATTTCCTCTCTTCGCTTTAATGGTAGCCATATTCGCCAAAATATTACTAAACGGTACAGCTGATATCGAAAAATGTTTTTAAGAAACTAGCGACTCGCTTCCTTGTTGGGGAAAACGATACTCCTCTCTGGAAATGTTTGGTGATTGTTTTCTCAAACTGGTAAAAGGGGACAAAACATTATGAAGTTTTGGTGCCTTATTCTCGGTTGTGTGTGGTTGCTGCCTTTCCCGAAGCAGAACCATCCTCTTCTAAAAATGGCATTTGAAACGCCATCAAGACTAGAAAGAGGCAGAGAGAGAAGTTGAGCCGAAGTTGTCCCCCATTCCAGAGATTCCTTTTCGGAGACAGCTGAAGAGGTGTCGAGCAGCGGGGAATCTTGGCCGGGGATGTTTTCTTGGCAAGCTTAGCTTGGCTGTGATAGCATTTTGCCCAGACAATCCAACGCGAGCCACGCGGGCCTGCAGCTCGTTGGCCGGCTTATGCCGCCGTGGAATGTGACTCCTCAACCCCACGGAGAAATAAAAAAAAAAAACCGGCGTATCACACAACTGGCACGCGCTAGTGTCATGCATTATGGATTACGTGTGCCGGCAATAATGCGAGCGCCGCCTGCTTAACATCTGAACACCAGTAACCTTATTTTACATTTTGGGCGGGAGAAAAAAATAATTGCCGCAGTGGGAAACTTTCTTGTCTTGAAAACAAAAATGTAAAGTAGGCCTTCGTGCGAGTGTATGGCAATATGACATCCAGCAGCTGTTCAGATTTCTCTGGTATCTACATCCCTATCGATACATGGGCATTGGTAAACGGCTGACCTCTCATTTAAAGATTTAAGGACACGCAAAGCATTGTGGGAAGCTTACCACAATTATCAATGTACGCACATTGCGTGCGCACGCGCGCGCCGTGCGCACCTTAGAGTGTTGACCCCGTCTCACCGAGTGGTGGCAGCAGACAAAAGGGCTCATCTGAACATGCGCACTGCGTTACATTTAATTCAAGACAAGAGAGCGGTGTAGGTAAGACAACTGTCCTTAAATTATTCTGTAAAAAAAACCAAGTATTGTTTTGATTTATCGTACTTCGTTGTTCAATACAAACTGTACTAAGATAACTGCAACAACACTTTCACGAAGGGTATACAAAAACATTTTGCACGGCTTAAAAAATAGAAACATAAACCTAAACAGAAGTCATTACAGAATGGTAACCATATGCCTGAAGATACTGGTACTCGCGCTGCGCGCATTGAAAGTCTGGAAAGTTCCACCGTCTGTGACAGGATTTCCCCGCGAACTTGATCCTTGAAAGATGATCCAGAAACAATCTACAGCTGTTTTCATCCGACCACGCCACATTCCTGAGAGTTTCCAGATGTTATTGCGGCAATTTGACACGTCTATAATAAGTGTTGCCTTTCCAGCTTGTAAAAGTACCAAGGAACATGGCGCTGAATTTGAAGCTTCGCGCGCTATTTTGACTAAGTAATTTGACGCCAAACTATAGGAATTTAAGTCATTTACGAAGGCTGGGTTTTTTCTTCATAATGCGCCATCTCATGAAGAAATGCCAAAAGATCCTTACCATTATCCCATAAACAAAAATCTACAGGGCCATTCAGCTTACGAAATAGCAGTCCTCAATGTCTTAAAATTCACCGGTCTTAATGATGTCACAGCATGCTTGAACCCCGCGAATGTCAACAAGCCTGTAAAGACACGGAATTAGCTTTCAAGCAAAATAAATTCCATCTAACTGCGGCGGTATTATGGGCAACGCAAGCCAACAATAACAGAATACCTCACCACGCATCACAGCGCCATAAAAAGAAAGGAAACCCCGCCGTGGCTGTGCTCAAATTTAGCTACAAATTGAGCAGCAAACTTGCTGGCACTGAGTCAAACGGTCAAATGTCAACGGCCACGGGATGAAACTGGACGCCCTTTGACTGATGAGGTAAGACATTTTGATTGAGTTGCTCTGGAATGTGATATTTATCTGTAAACACATACGGTTTAGTGATTTCTTTTGAGCTAGTACTATATGGTGTAGTTGATGCTAATATTGGGCGTGGTGCAGTACTTATAAGGAATAGTTCAGTTTGGGTTCTGACGTAGTCAAAGGCGGATTCAGAGAGGTTACTGCCTGGGGGCGGAGGGTGTGCCGGGGGGGGGGGGCAGAAGGGCTCTCTCGAGTGAAATGGCCTTATTATTTTGAGAACATTTCGGTCCCTGCTGGTGCCATGGGAGAGGAGCCCCATCTGCACCCACTTTGATCCGCTACTGATATTTGAACTGATAATTTCCAAATTTGTACAGCTTACATTTAGTTTTATAAAGCAAATATAAATATCCACAAGTTGGGCCTTCGTCATTGGAGGTAGAATTTATGTATACACGGAAAGTCAAGCGGCGGTGACATAAGATTTTCACATCTAAAATGAAACTCGAAAGAAAAAGGGTTGAGCATGCATTGAATTTGAAACATTCTGAAAACTCTTTGACTATTAGGGCAAAGGACAAACTAATATACAGTGTAACTAAAAGACAATGTTCAGAATGATAATCAGCTGCAATGGAATAATTAATTGGTTTATAGTTGCCATTTAAGTCGTCGCTATCCAATTGGTTTGAGCATCGTCAAACTCATCAGATTTCGAAATATTTTAACTGGAAGTGCCTTTGGCATACATCATACTTTGTTATGTAGTTGTCGATATCCCATTAAATTAAGACAACTAAGAACATTTTCAAGTCAGGAATAGTTTGAAAACTTGTAATGAATTAGATGTAGTCGATGGCTTTATAGAAACATTGACTGTGGTCGAGTCAATACCAAATTTCGGGCACGCAAGCGCGCTCCGAAAACAAATAAGGGAAGGCATACCCCCTGAAGTATGCGAGGAATGCGCGCCACATGATGGGCGGTGCGTCGGGCTCGATTGAGCTTGAACGCTAAATGAGGGGAAAATCACGTTCCGAATCTATATTTGAACATCCACAAACAAAACAAGGTAAAACAACAACTAAAAATATGGATCTACAATATTGTGATATGGATCTACAATATTGTGATTATTGGCTTCGAGAATAATGTTTTTGTTATTTATTTTGTATGTTTTTCAATAATCCGTGCAGCGTTTTGTTTCAATTTTGTGATAATTGAAATAGCTTTTAAACATTTGGACTGAATTGAATGTTGTTCTTAACTTTGCTGAATTAAGTTTCCTCTTTGTAAATCTAACTGTCTCGATTCGACATCAAGTTTGATTTCACCCATTTTAGCTATACCTTTTGGTGTTTTTTTTTTAACATTTTCTCGACGCAATTTCTTTAATCGTGTACAAAACGCAGAAACGAGCTGAAAGTATTTTATTAACATTTTTGGTTAAATTCATGAAGACAAAATGTATTTTAAAACATCTACATTTTAAATAATTATTAATTGATTGATTTTAAATGCCATCCAAAAAAAGTAAACGCTGGATTCAAAAGTTGGAACGTGTCTTAAAATAAGTTTGTTCTTAAAGTACGAGACAAACTCTTGACCAGTAGATTTTTAAACAGCTCTAACGTTTCAAAATAATCAGAAAACGCTCTTGGCAAAGTTTATATAAGTTTTTATCACTCGAATTGTTCTGTTATTGATAGCTTTGATTAGGTCTATTGATCGACAAAGTTATCTATTCTAAACAAAAAACTATCGCTCGGAAATTAAAACAAACAAAAGCAATTTACCTTCTTCTTCCTTGCAAGCATGTCACCGTATGCTGGGCCCTGGTTCGCCATTTTGACTGAGGTTTTTGGCTTCTTGAAAAGAATTCCAAACGAATACAATCACAAAACTGCCGCACAAACCAGTAATTTTCCGGTGAAGTTCACAAGCACTCGTCTCGATGGCAAATGACGAAGTGAAGAGACGAAAAAAATCAGTTCTCGTCAGTCGCCAGAACTTTCCGATGGACAGAAGCAGACGAACCGCACTGCTGAAGCCATTTTTAAGCTTTTTGGAGGGCCGCTGCTGATTGGCCAGCGCTACCGCGGCCGCATACTTGTCTAATTACCATCTCTGCCTCGCCATTGGTCGCTGCGCGCGCGGTGGGCGGGGCCGTGCCCTAATATGGTAACGAGGTATGCGCGATTGGCGGGTCGGGGTAATTTTAACCGCGGTGATGTCAGCAAGGGAGCGTGAGAGTTATTTCGTCTGGGCGGTATGTGGCAGGGGGCGAACTGGGGAAGATTTCCACTTAAGGACATGGTCCACGATGCTCCACACGTAGACGCTCAGACCTCAGTCTTGTTGTACAGAAGTCCCCTATGCTCACGAGATATCTGGCGACCATGTACCAAACTACCAAAGCCCAGTCCAGAATTTTTTGCGAGGGAAGCGCGCCATGCAAGGCGTCGTTTTCTGTTGAATGTAAACTTGCTGTGACCCTAATCTTGACTCATCGAGGTTTAATTTGAGGCTCTCCATTTTGGAGATAGAATTTTAGATATTGATTCAGTGATTCCCGTGTCGGGGTTCAGATCACTGAACCTGCTATTTTTATTGTGTAAAGTTGCCAGATCGAGGCTGTGCATGCCCAATAGCGGAGTGTGAAAAGAGCGAAATAAGTGTATAGCACCCTGAAATATAATTTTCAAATTAAATTGCTGTTTTAGCATCATAAGACGCAAAAGGGCTAAAAACCTGTGAACGATAAGTAACTGATTGAATACGTTTCCTTTTAGACATAGGAATTTAAAAATGTAAACTAAGTTTTTGGCTCACTCGTGAACAATTTCATGTCGTGAGTAATTTCTCATCTCATGAATAATTTCTTGGCGCGTAAACACAGAATTGAAACAATATTGTAAGGGAAGACCAACAGATTACAAAGTAGCAGATCTTTTTTCGTCCTTGGGAAAACCTGGAATTTGTCAACTTCAACCATATCAAATCTGATTGTAATTCATTTTAAACTTTTAATATGTTCGTCCATGGCAGCTTCAAATAAGGTATGCCGTGAAGCCAAAATGAAAATCATTACACACACGCACATCTTCTCATATATATTATCTTTTAATAATGCAACGCATTAGTGTTAAATGCTTATTACAGACACATTTACATAATACTACGTCATACCAAATTTGCGTCAAAGAACGGTCACAGAATTGAGACATGAAATTGTCACAGACAAAGAAAAAACTTTGCCAGCCAAGAGGCAACATTTGCTGTGGACTTCAGGCGACTCTGGGTCTAAATAATTTACGAGATAAAAACACTGTTCAGTTTGGGGGTTTTCTGTTGAAATTGTGAACCAAAAAAAATTTGCTCTTTGAAAACATCTTTGAGAAAGGTTTATTCACTGGCTTACTGACATGTACTGACACAACAACGAATCACCAAAGAAAAGAAAGCCACGACAGCAAAATATCCAAAATTCCGGCAACTTTTTGTGCTGAAATATAGCTGTAATATTGACATCACACTTTTGCTCATGAATATGGAAATTCGCGTTAGCATAGAAAAAAGAGGCACCCAAATACCGTTGAAAATGTGATGCAAGATGCATTTTCAAGGACAGCATTACAAAATGTCATTGCATGGGCCCTTTAAAATCATGATGACATGACAATGCGAGCCTAGACAGTACCAAACGAGCAGAGAGTCGACACGAACATTCAATTCTAAAAGCACTCAAAAAAACCATACGGAATATGCATAATTTGAAAGTCGGTCAGTTGTACAGCATTACATAGATCCCAGACGGTGCATATCGAAATATTAATCAACACTCGTTTTGCGTCGGAAAACGTACGTGTGCACACGGAGCAACGGTTCGTTAATTTATCAAGCTTTACGCACAAGGACAGTGACCTGCATACTGAACTACATCCACGCAATCCCAGTATTCGACATATCAAGTTGTGCAGGAAATGGTGACAGCCATCTTAGATTTATGATCCCAGTTGCCCAGCAACCGTTGCCATGTTCGTCTCCGTAATAAAGTACACCGAATCAGACAACAATCAGTGAGAATATTTTAAAATGCCAGCGTGTAATTTAATATCAGGTTATCATGTTTTGTTTAAGTTTAGATAGCAAAAAGCAATTATGGTTGGGTTTCCTATATATGGACTTTTTTTAATGAGCACGGGGTCTGATTATAGGACTTGATCCAAAAAAATAGCTACTGCAGTGAGGTTGGAAGAAGTAAAATTAAAGGGGAGTAATTTTAAATTGCTTGTCAATTTTTTTCTATTTTTGATGTCACGTGAAGTAATATTGCTTGAAGCTGAAAAACAGAGTAAGCCTGTTTCATCTTGTGCATTTTTTGGATTAAAAAAAAAATTGATGTCTTGATTCTTACGCAAATTTGCTACATTTAAATGTTTGACTGTAAATTAATCAATTTATCCATCCGTCTTTGGCGCTTGCGCTAATGGATGATGTATGAAATAAATATATGAAATAAATAAATAAACAAATGGTCTCCTATGGTGACAGAAGTTTATCATGGACGGGCTTACAAGTACAAGCGCAGGCCTTCTCCAAAATTGCACAATTTTACTCATCAATTATAGAAAAATACAACAAAGAAGACACATGTATACATTTCCTCAGCTTCAAGCAATATTACTTCACGTGACATCAAAAATAGACCAACAAAAATGGACACGCAATTTACAAACAAAAGTCTCAAGGAACCGGGCAGGCTAGTAAGATGACCATATTTGGCCACGTCCAATAAATTTATGCTCATGGCCATCATATTGCGGCCACAGCATGTCGCGGAACGAAAACCTGCGGTTTTCATTAACTCCATGCAAATCACGTCACGCGTGCTATTGCATAAGTGCACGTATAAGACGGATGATATCAACACAGTATATAATTCTTTATGTAGAAATTCAATAAATAGTGTTATTGGCTGATTATCCCTTTATAATGTCCGACCATGGAGCTATAAACCGTTGATCTGTTACCATAAGTGACCAAAAAAACATGATTGCAACTGCAATGTCTCCGAGATATGGTAGTTTAAAAAATTCACGCGCCAAACCTGTTTGTACACGGACGGCTTTATTCCATCCGCTTGACTGAGCTCCGGAGCTTGATTTGAAGGAAAAAAACACTACACTAGACTTACACGTGGACAACGGTGATTTTGGTGACTTGTATTCAATTTTGCATAATAACACTATTCTTGTGATTTTTTAAAGATTTTTTTTTTCAAGTTCAACATGTATGGTAGAAGAGCTATACTGCACTACATTATAAAAACATTCAAATAAGTTAAGTGGGTTAAAATTCCTGTCAAAATTGGGTTTCCTTCTTTTTGCCCCACCCTTTATATAGGCGCAATGATTTCACAGGATGCATATTCCTAATATTTTACTTGCAATGAACTTTGACAGTTCGTGATATTTTAACAGTTTCATTTTTGAATGTTTGCAAATGGCGTTCATTGCCTTTAGCAGAAACCCAGTCGCAATCATCGACTGCAAGGGCCAAGTGAAAGTTTTAAAGAAAACAATAATATATTTGCTTCAATGCCACGTTGACATTTACGCACTCAATTTAATTAATCTCTCATTTTTTGAGACAGAATAATAAGAAACAATGTTATTCCTTGGCCAAGTAATCAATGTAGCCTTCTGGAAAGACATCCAAGGGCATTTATAATTACACATATTGAAAATGGTTTTAGCATAGAGCCAGGGCGTTTTTAATATAATCACAACGACATTTTTGATATCAGTACCAGAACATAAGTAACGTATATGCCACTTCCGTAAATGTGTACATGTATTACAATATTTGTGGAATGGTGTGGTTGCGTGCACATTTTAGTTTTATTGTCTACAACGAAAACCAAATGTTTATTTCATTATTTCTTGGCTCAAATTGTGGGACAACTTATATCTGGAAAAACAATTTCGTATAAGGGGCAGCAATTTGATTACCAGTAATGTATGTTTTTGTATAGCCGCACGAAGCATCGTGCATCACTGTCTCGTTCGTTTTCTAAGTGGCCCGGCATTTTCGGCATGGACTACATATTTCTGGCATGCTGTCAGTCCACGGAGTTTTCTAGAAAAATATCAAGGATTATTTTAGAATTTCGAATAGCCACTTACGAAATTACCTCAATATCTATTATTTCAGATTTGAATTTTGCGATTGAATTATAACCTGGGTATTTTTTTGTTTGCTTGTCGGGGGGGGGGGAGGCGCCCCTTGCCCCCCCCCCCCGCCCTCCTCGCGACGCCCTTGCTATTAAAAATATGATTTGCAATTAGATGTACCAAAATAGCCCTGTTACAATTATTACGCCTACATATTTGATGCTTAAAAGCATACAGGAATATTTTGGTGGTTTTTTTTAAATATATTTTCTTCGTTTACCAATTAATAACACCACTAAAAATTCAAATAATGTTCAAAACCTAAAGCTGTTGAAGTTTCAGCTCAGTGACTATTACACTTTTCGAGAAAGCAGTGAAAAACCATGCACAACATTTTGATCACGAAATACTATTTCGTCAATACAACTCTTTATTTCCAAATATCAGTCAGTTGACGAATACATGTAGTTGGAAATCACCTACATTTCTTGATTTCTTCTAAATGACAGCAAAACAAACGGACTAATTTCACGGTGTGTTTAGTACGGTATTCGATTTTTAATCCAAATAAGATTTTTTTACCATAATTATGTAGATTAGTTAAGGAATAAATGCAAAGATCCTATTTGCCTTAAAAATCATGCTATTTGCCTTGAAAATCATGTTAATGTTTTTTATACCTAACAAGATTGACCCCCAAAAAAGTCCAAAAAACTTAAATAACGAATTGCGAAATACTTCTGTAATGTAGCTTCCAAACCTTAAGCGTTAAAATTCTTTCTTAATTTATGGTATAGGCCAACACATACATGTTTACATTACATACCTTACCCTATGTGGACATTCCTTTGTTTTCGCACATTTAAGGAAAACCCGAGGAAAACAATATTTACTCACACTGTGAAAACTCTCTCAACCCAAATATTTTATCCTGGTTTTCTTGAGTGTTCCTCTTCATTTTGCGACCGGTGACCCTAACCCCAAAATGCCTCTGAACCTGTTTTCCAGAGAGGGCGAAACCTTGTGTGGACCTGGCTAAGTGCAACATGTTCACACAACCTGCGTTATGAGGACCTGTTTTGTTGTCAGGTCCACATACAGATGGCATAGTTGGCACAAAATCGACCCGGCATGTATACACAAAATTTGCAAAGGCACTGCCAGCGAGTTCACCACGGAATTTTGCCGATAAAAATAAACGACTGTTTGTCATTAGAAAATGACGGTGCTCGGCAACATGTTTGTATATGGGCACGCAATAATATTGACGCAGGCGAGAGACGGCTCAATTTTCTCACGATTTCTTTTTGGTAGCTCTGTGATTGAAATCATGCCGTGTACTTTTCTAACAGGCTTTTTTTCTTGTGAAATATTAAGATGAATTTTACCTTTTATTTTTCAGTAAGATAATTTTGGCATAATGGAAAAACGCTCAATATGAAGGAAACTGTGAACAAAAAGACATTTCTTTTCTTTAAGAGAATGTATATACGTTGGGGAAAAGAGTTTGAAATTAAAAAACAAAATGCGGACATTTTGTACTTGTCATATCCTTTCGGACTGAAAAGGTGGGGAAAATATTGTGTGGCGAAATGGGGCAAAGGTTTCAAAAGAATGGTTCGAAGCACCGAACAGCACATAATTATTATCCGGACAGATACAGTACAAGATTTGAAACCATACAAGTGAATAGCCAGACACACTGCCTTGCAGAAAACGGAAATAATAAGCCTCTGTACTAATGACGTCACACTTTGTTTACATGTGCACTTTCATTTGGAGCCAGTAGGGGTCCACGGTCCACTGACCACCATAGGAAAGCACACACGTAAACAAAGTGTGACGTCATTAGTACAGAGGCTTATTGTCGATCTGTGGACACTAATTAAAAACTAGATTAAACTGAGGATCACATTCATGACTGTTTACTGTTTGACTCATTCATTTGGGATTTTGGAAAACAGAATTGAAAAAAAAATACATCTTGTACAAAATACATACACAGCCCTGGCTTGAGTAACTCCAGCTCCAATGCTCATTTGGAATTCCTGATAAGTATTAGAGCTGGAGTCACCCAAGTTAACATAGTCCATGCATGGACAACGGGCAGTCCGAGTTTACAGTGTATATGAATTATGAAATAACATAGGTGAAGGTAGTAAACCAAATTGGCAAAACCAAATAGTGAGAAAAATTACAAACACCAAAGATAATGACGATAAGACACTAGAATATAGAAAATATTCGCAGAATAAATACTCCAATAATTAATTTGATAGACCCTATGTGATCGGCGGCCATCTTGGAGGTGTTTCTCATTTCTCATGTACAATAGGTGTATTCAAGTGTGTCCCTGTGGCACAGCAGCACCGGACCCCTAAGATGGCTGCCGCGTAAAGGGTCAATTAATTACATCAAGTTTAAAAATGGTATTTTCCCCTGGTGACCCAACTGTTTTTTTAATTCAGTATTTTTCCTACTTTGCTCAGCTGATGAAACGTAAATCAAAGTACGTACAGATAAAGGTTTTTTGATTTTTCCCCCATTGGCAGCTCGAGGGTGGGGGCCCCCAACACGTTTTTATCGGACTGAAGACTGAAGACACGTTTTTGTCTTAAATTGTCCCGAAATAAATTCAAATCTTGCGTAACTATGTCGCAAGCCTTCAGCTACACATACCTTTTACAATGTGGAAATAGCGCACGCTACTAAATACTTTCCCCTTTCTTTGTTTGAAAAAAATACTCAAGCCCTTTTCTTCCCCCTCCCCCTCCTCCCCCCCCCCCCCCCCAACCCCCAACCCCAATTTGGTTCTGGATCTGCTCTTGTTGCCTCTTGTAGTGCAAGTGACAATATTCACTCGAATGCTGTGGGGACTGGGGCCCACTAATTGCAAGTCATGTTCATGCGTCATATATCATGCGACATCAACACTACCAGAACATGGTCAAAATATATAGACTGGAATGCCGACAGTGCCTATTAACATGAATGATGCGCGTTTGGAAAGTGCAATTTTCACCCCCTATTAAATGTACAATCAATGCAGAAATAATGAGCACATGAATGAGAAATTGTACAAGTTGTATGCAAGTACATTTTTGATGCATGAAACCCAAAAGGCAAGCTAAATTTCTCCAATAAAAGTAAACAATTTACGTTATCTGTAAATATACAATGCCACAACAAAAATGATGCATGCACGAACAAAATAATCGTTATTAAATTTCCGTTCTCACACACACATATTGCACAATCATAAAGGGAAAGATACGCTTAGTTTGTACATGATATGGGGTCACATTTTGCTGTGCTATCACAGTGTACATGTACACAATCAAACTACAACGTACATTGTGTACAAAGGAGAGGCATGCTGCTGTGTGTAGCAGAGAACAGAGCAGATATCCATTTTGAATATAAATTGTGAATTAAGAAAATTGAAATGGATACCCACAGGGGTTCAAATTCTTAGGCTGACGGGGACTGAATTTCCTTAATACTGTTGTTTTGAACGGCCAGCTGCCTCGAACATCCTCACATCAAGAACCGAGAAAATTTTGCGATTTTTTTTTTTTTTTTACATTTTCCTGTACAGCTGCAAGGTAATTTGACAACATAATTTAATGAATAAATACAATGTTAAAATATATAAATAAAAGCAAATCTAGCACACTTTCCAAGCATAAATGTTAACATTATCAAGTAAAGAATGGAATGCGAGTTTCTTTTGTTTTCCAAAAACATTTCACTGAAATGATAAAATGGTAAATTTTACATGGATGTTAAAGGGAATATACAACATTTGCAAACATCAAACAAACAAAAACTACCAAATTATTAAGAAATACCTTACTGGACTGTCAGTGAATGACAGTCTAAAGCATCCTGTGAAATCATGGCACCTGGTGTGCTGTCATTTTCAAGAAAAGTGGTATTTTTGTATCAATTTCCAATTCTGGTCAGCCAACCAGCGTTGGAAAAAAACTGGCTAAAAACTAAATACTGCCCCCAATTTACCATATTTAGTTAGTCCGCATTTTGCTTGCAATCGATCACACACCTATGAACGAGTACAAGCAAGTTAGGCTGGTTCCCTGACCTTACAATTCCCTGACATCTATAAATTGCTCTGTTTCATCTTAAGTGGGATCAGGGAACCAGACTACAGGAACATGATTTTGGATTTCCCAGCATCTACGAACACAAAACTTTAAAAAAGGCAGTGTAACAATATTTGTTATAAGATACTAACTGCCCAAATCCATCCATTTCTGAAAATAACGGCAAAGCAAATGTTGTATATTCCCTTTAAAACAATAGGTTTTATACTCTGTAAAAAGGAATGTGAATTGAACCATACCATTAATTGTTAACCCTTGTAATGCAACCACAAATAAATAGTTGAATACTGAACAAATATTACAAGATACGAAAATAATAACGTTTTATGTCTGTGGGTTGGGAGTCCATTTTAAATACTATCGGTTGGCAAGATGAGTATCCTTTTCAACACAAAGAAGGATGTGTGCGCCCCACGCATCTCATGTTTTTTTAAAATTCATTATTAAATTTTCGTGACTGATGATCGAGTGTGTCTGTGTTACAACCAAGAGAGGCAATTATTAGTCTTGAGGGACGGCCACGAGAGTCGTTAATCCTTTGTGAATATTCGCAGAGTTGCTGTCACGACAAATTACACAATAGCAGAAATTCTTTCAATGAATTTTGATGAATAACCTAAAAGGTATTTGCTATTTAATTTTACTTCATCCGTTGATTTCCACTATTGTCAAGTCTGGGTTTTTTTAATATTAAAAAAAAAAAAGTTGATCTGAAACAGGTTTATTTCTCTGCTTGCACTGTGATTTTTTTTTTTTTAAATAAATGTTTTCGGATGGCAAATTTTCAATTTTGGTTTGGGTAATTGACAAAAAAATTAATTATCTGGGTGCGTAACAACAATATTCAAAACATAATGAATTTCAGTGCTTACATTTTAAAGTACATTGATGCTTTTAGAATTCCACCAAAAATTAAAAAAAAAAAAAAATTTATTCACATACAAATTAGTCAACAATGGGATTTTGTGCAGCTTGAATGGAGACATGAAATTTTAAATTATTTTGTTCATATAAAAATACTGTATTATGCTTGGTGTTTTCAAATAAAATTTCTCCCAAAGAATACCCTGGGCTTATATGAAAATTAAGTACAGTGTATTTTAACTGCAGCTTCTGAATACATATTTACGTTGTCTACTGCTACCACACAGAAATGAAAAGATAAGTAATGTATGCAACAATAATAGCACATTGCAAAAAATAAACAATATCGTTTACAAAGAATGTAAGATGTGAATACAAGAACATGGCATACAATATTTGAATACTGTGTAAGTAATTTCATTTACTAGACTAAATCTGCTTTCTAGGTAAAAATATAATGAACACTTTGACACCCATAAAATAAATAAATCTCAAGATGTTTTGAAGTGTTGTTTGTCGCAACTTGTAAAATAGACACTTTTTCTGGTTTAGTATGTTTGTCATACTGAGGATTGTTCATTGCACTCGTACATTGCACTTGGTCGTATCCGACGGCGGGTTCGCCCTGGCAGCTTGGGCAGGAGCCGGAACGTCTTGGGGGCCAGTTCTCGGCAAGCTTCGCGGAACTTCTTGATCCGCCAACAGTAGATAATCGGATTGAAGGCGGAGTTAAGGTACGTGAGCCAGAGGATGAACGCCTGGCCAACGGGTGAGATCATGTTTGACTCGGAGAAGATTTCGACGTAGACGCCGACAGCCGAGGGCGCCCAGCAGATGATGAAGACGATAAATAGGAGGAGGATGGTCGTGAACGCCCGCGTCTTGAAACTCATGTCCACGTTGACGCGGGAGGGGCGGGGGAGGTTAGTCAGGCCTAGCTTGTTGGCCTGACTGATGCTGAGGGATTCCGGGTGGTTCTGAACCCGTAGTGAGTTCCGTCGCACCGTGTTGAGAATGAAGAGATAAGAGAAGGCCATGGCGGCACAAGGAACGTAGAAAATGGCTAGATAGAGGCAGACGATGTAGGCTTTGTCTGCGGGACCATCCGGGTACTGAAGCCGGCACTGGACTTCACCTGGGGAGTACTCGAACCGGGCCCAACCGACGATGGGTGGAAAGGCTACAATGGCACTGCTCAACCAGGACAGAGCGATTACTATCTTGGCTCTGTGCGGGTTCAGCTTGTCCTTCCGACGAACAATGATGAAGTATCGATCCACGGAGATGGTGGCAAGGATGAAAGTGGCCTCCATGACGAAGAAGAGGTACAGGAACGCCGTGATCTGGCACACGGCGGGCCCCAGCAGCCAGTCGCCCGCAATGAGGGTCACCAGCGCGAAGGGCATGCACAAGAGCGCCACCATGATGTCGGCAAAGGCCAGGTTGGCAAGGAGGAGGTTGATCGCGGAGCGCATGGCGGGCTTCTGGTAGACGATCAGACAGACGATGCTGTTGCCCAGGGCACTGATCAGGATCATGAGGACCATGATGATGGTCAGGATTGCGACGGCTCCGATGGGCAAGCGTAGCTGCTCCGCAGGAAGTGTTGCAGTGCCTTCTGGGAATGTCGTCATCTTGGTGTCGTTCACCACCAACGTTAGCCCACCCGTGCTGCTGCTGGTTGCACTCATGGTGGTTTCCGTCAACAGCACCATGCGCATGATTCTACAAACTCAAGCATAAATTGCGCTCATTTTTGCAACTTGTTTCCCGTTGTTGTGCAGTTTGGTAAGTGACACAAACTAACACTGATCTAATTGCTCGACATTGTGGCATACGTAGAATCACGGCACTGGGACAACTTCATAAGATCACTGTCACCAAGTCGACACTCATTTTCATCATTCTCACTTTTCCAACCAAAGCCAATGGAGTAGTCCGCTAAAGACGATTCTAAAACGGCATTCAAATTCTGGAAAGTGGCCATCTCCTGCACGAGGCAAGTTTGCCATCAACTTAGGTCGACGGTCGTTTGACGAGCAATTATGAAGCAACGAAGTGGAACTTTAAAAACCACACCTCATAATGGCTCATTCGGTGAAAATATCTCAATCCCCTGTATCCGATGCCAACTACCGGAGGTTCAACGAACAAGATAATTCTTTGACACACCAATCCATTCATTTGGAAATCCACTTTGAGACGTTTTTAGCAGAATCTGTCACTGTGATACTACATTTTCATGAAGATTAATCAACGGTAATGATTTGATTTCTTGAATGCAGATGACTAGAAACCGTGTGGTAAAAGCACCATAATGTGAACGGTAACCCTAATGAGCCACTTAGCTGTCTAAAATCATTTCTAAAAAAATCATTTGTTTGGCTGTTTATGATCATGACAGCGCATATCACATCTGACTTTTTTAAGAAGCTACATGGAGCGCCAGAACCCTGCGTTGCATTTCGACTTCAAGGGTCGTTTGTACTCGACTGCGTTCTCGGAGCACACTCAATGATGTAGCAGCAATACTGGATCTGTTAACAAATAAATATTGAGGAAACGTATTCAAATGCATGCACTTGTGGCCAACAGGAAAAAAATCCTTGTTACCTGTATTAATTAGTCCGAGTAACTTGGACCCAATTTATCGCCTTTTTAACTTTCAGGCCATATCGCCAGACCATGTCCGAAGGTTAAAAAGGCAATAAGTTGGGTACGAGTTACTCGGACTACAAGTATATTTATATTTATCAAAGCCGAAACCAAGGGAAAACAATGCAGAATTTACAACACCCTGATGCCAAAAGAGTCCATAAAATGACAAACAACATTTTTATAAAAAAAACTTAGCGCTCCATCCTATTTTTTTTTTTTTTTCAAAGTAGGCCTACATGTATCATTAATTTTAGTGAAAAACATTTCTTTTTCATGAATTTCTCGAATTTCGAAATCTGTTCCACTTCACATTGGGAACAACGATTTTATGCCGAAATGCATTTTTGCATATTTCTCAAAATAAAGAAAGGTCTGAACATATTAGTTCCTGTGGTTTTGTAAGTAAGACCAAAATTTCCGGATGGAAGCCCAGCCCAGGCCCCAGAAAATGTCTACCGTTCTGCGCAGCGCAGTCACCGCCTCAAACAACATCGACACCTGCAAGAAATGCAATCGACAATGTAGACCTACGTGTTTCGTATGCGCACTGCAGTCTTCTTTTTCAAACAATATTTTCCCATCATATGTAGCGATTATCCTGACACCGCCGACACTGTGGTTGCAGTAAAGATAAACCACAACAAAAAGCTACAAATCGATGTCTAGGATCACAAAATACCTGCACACATCACGATTTTTGAGAACATCTTTTCTCCGCTTTCGTCTGTTGATGACGGATCGGTGGTATTTATTTTGCGTGACTATTTACCACCGTTGGCGGCGCTATACATCTTAGCAGTTAACTCGTGAGTTTCTCCATGAAACTGAAAGTGTTTGCTGGCATATAAAAAAAAATCACATCAGTAATTTTCCGAACTTAGTTGCAATACGTTTTCTTTAAAGACCCCCCCCCCGCCCTTCCCGCTTTCTTCAAATGACAGGGGGGCAAGGGGTCACTCCCCCCCCCCAAGGAAAAAAAGGAGGGAAAAAGAAAAAGGAAAAAGAGATGTGAAGTTATATTTGCTATTAATTTAATACACATTTTTTTTTTTAAATGGGCGTCTGCAGGAGTGTCAATGGGGGTGGGATGGGCAAATGTCCCCTGCCCACCCTCGAAAAAACGATAAATTGAGAATATATGCTAGAGAAAGTAGAAGGATTTGGGGGGAAATGTTCTTTGCCCCCCCCCCCCCGAAAAAAATCATTGCGACTCCCATGACCAAGGTATGCGACAACTAAAAGATGGGGTTTGTAAATTGTACGTGGCAAATAGAAACATAAAATAGGCCTTTTTCCACTAAAGCGCAAATGATAAAACAAAAGGCCGACTTCTTTTTTGCAACTTTTTCTTTGTTTTTGAGGAAAAATTATTTTCTCTCCGAAATTAATTGGCATCTTTTCCTTTTACCCAAAATGTTATTTTGCCTTTCTTTATCGTGTTAACCGAGTACTAATTCAAATGTTTCTTTCAATTCATGGTTTGGAAGATTTCCTTAAAAAAAAAATTTCAAGGGAAGTAAAAGTCCGAGAACCACTTTTTTGCAGGCGAAAAAAAAACCATCTTGCGCGAGGCTCGGCGCGGCTCGAATGTAAAAACGCAAGTGCGCCCTCTTGGGATAGCTTCTTGAACCGGCAGCGTTTGGCACATGTCTAATCGGATTTTCAGCACATGCACGCTTCCCTTCGAGAAATTTCTACGCTAATTTATTCATAATCAAACGAAACAAATTGTCCGACAAAATCCGCGAAAGATGGCTATGCGAGTACCCAACGCGCCCGGTATTGGGCAGATGCTGAAAGATGGTGCAAAAGTGAGTAAACTTTGTGAATATCAACCAATTTTGTGATGGCGATTTTATTTGTTCCGCTTGAGCCTTGACGACAACGATAGAGTTTGCATTAGCATGATTGGGCAAAAATCATTGACCAGTTGTGATATGGATTTTTAAAAATGTGTCATAAATTCATGTTACATCCAGAAATGGATAGGATGCAGTAGCCTAATGCCAATTTTCTCATGTATGACCCCAGATATGATCAGTCATTGCAAACATTGTAACTTAGAAAAAGATGATTTCAGAATGCGAAACTTTTTCAAACTAAGTTTCTAAAAATTCACTTCCCCATAGACTTTGCACACGACCAGCAAAATGGCTTCAGGATACTAAACTCTTTCTCTAATGCCTTTTTTTAAAGTCATATTGGCCTACAACCTCAATAATGATTTAATGTTATTCCAAATTTGTTTCGGAAAAACAAATTATACATGGGATAAAATGGGCGTATAAATAATAAAATATGTTTTTATGGCAACTTTACATCCCCAAACATGTTCAGTAGTCGGCATATATTTTGTACAAACAAAAAGGTATCTGAATGCTATATTTTGTTAATTTTTTTACATTTGTTTTAGGCCACTGTCACTGAATTCTGAAAAGTGTTCATATATTTTAGGCAGAGCATGTACACATAGGCCTATCCGATTTTTATGAAGTTATCATCTGCATGACCTGTGCTGTGTTATTGTTTATAAAATTATCATTTTTTATTAATTTATCGACATCACTGTCATCCGCCACCATTTCATTCCCTTCGCCAGCATTTCCATGGTCTTGAGGAGGCAGTTTACCGTAACATCGGCGCTTGCAAGGAGCTAGCGAAGACAACGCGGTCGGCCTACGGCCCCAACGGTATGAACAAGATGGTCATCAATCACATCGAGAAGTTGTTTGTAACCAACGACGCGGCCACCATTCTCAGAGAACTGGAGGTAAGCTACTTGATGAGAGGATTAGGCCACACACAAAAAATTGTAAAAACAACGGAGGTTTCTTTTGTAAGTAAGAAAACAAATAAATACAAGCATTTTTGAAGCAAAAGGGTTGTTGAGAGGTATTTTGTGTAGACAGAAAAGACAACAAGTTTTTTTTTTTTATTCAAAATTTCAATGATTATTTATTTTTTTTGGAATTGCCAATAAAATTTTAAGGGTCGCGGCCTAAAAATAGGGTCAGTCAGGTAACCGGAAGCAGAAGTTTTTTTTTGGGGGGGCCTTAGAAAGTTATTCACAAGAAAGTGTTTTTATATTTAGGTTGTTATTTTTTGTATTAGAATTGCGAGAAGCAACTTCATGTTTGAAACAAACAGCTGTTCCTGTATCGCCCCAAACTGCCCTGCCTGTTACTCCCAGTACTGCCCAAAACTGCCCCAGCATTCTGTAGTGTTATAGATTCATCAAGGAATATATACATATTGTGATATAAGTGCTAATGAGTTAAATGACATTTAATTGTGCAGTTGCATACGAATGGATTGAAAAGTTGTGTCCGCTGATGTTTGTTTGCATCAACTTGCAATGTTTTGTCACATAAACCTCATGTGTTAAAAAATATGCAAGATTTTCAATGATTCTCATTATTTATTTGATCGCAACAAACAAAAACGACACAAAACAATACATACAAAATAAAATAAGCAAACAGAAAGCAAACTAAATAAAAAGTATACACATGAGACTTTGTGCTTAAAATCACTGAATGAGAGCATGCACTTTTAGTGTAATTTGTATGGTCCCCCCTTGACATTATTGCCTGAATTAGATTTCAATACAGCATTGCAAAATATTGACTTCGATCCAACATCTTACAAAAGTTGTCTTGTCTCCATCTTACAAGGTCAGAGCCAACAATAAAAAACGTTATTTGACCAAAAACATTGACAAACTAGGAAACTGACAACATATGGCTGGATAGCTCAGTTGATAGAGCACTGGTTCGGTATTCCGGACGTCACAGGTTTAAACCCCACTCATGTTATTTGCTTTGTTCAGTAAAAATGATTTTCTCTTTTTGTTTTTCTTTTCAGGTGCAACATCCGGCCGCCAAGATGCTGGTTCTTGCCTCCCAACAACAGGAGCAGGAGATCGGAGACGGCACCAACTTTGTCTTGGTCTTTGCCGGGGCCCTCTTAGAATACGCCGAAGACCTGCTACGCATGGTAAGACAGGACTGTCGAGTTTTAACCTAATTTGTTAATTAAACCAATTCATGTGGCCTTTTTTCAGGGACTCTTCCTGCATCCTCCAAAATTCAAAACTTAGCAGGAAATCAATAGACCATTATCATGTTGCGGCCATCTTGATTTTTTCCCTTTCAAATCAACGTAACCAAAGCGAGACTGGAAGGAAAAATAGTCTGGTTCCTTTTTGCACAAAACCCATTATCATTCAGTACAGTTATTGGATGCAGGGAACATGACTGAAATGGTGGCAGCATGATAAAGGTCTATAGCACGTTCATTGCACTTGCATTTAGCACTGTTCAGGGGCGAGATTTGTCAGGGTTTTTTTTTCCTGGTTTCAAGATTTTTTTGCCAGGATTTTTCCTGATTTTGGATTTTTTGTCAGGATTTTTCCTGATTTCAGGATTTTTTGGTCAGGAATTTTCCTGATTCTGGATTTTTTTGGTCAGAATTTGCCTGATTTTGAAAAGAATTCCCTCTCAAATACAAAATTCCTGAGGCTTTACAGTAAAGATGTAATTATATTTTTTACAGCATGCTTTAGCTGCAATGCTCGCAATCGTGTACTTCTGACATTGTTGAAGAATATATTGATGATAATTTAAAATGGTAAATTTATCATCATCTGTTTCCTTTGTTCCCACTGCAGGGCCTGTCCCCTACAGAAATCATCGAAGGTTATGAGCTTGCCTTGAAGAAAGCGCTGGAAATACTTCCAGGTGAGTTCCCACTTTGGAATTCCTTTTGATCATGGAAAACATGGAAAATTGTCTTGACTCTCCATAGTCTTTGTACACAACCGCTGAAGTGGCACAGGTTGCAACATTCCTTCCACTGTTTTTCATTTTCGCTCCTTTTTCCCAGATCTGTCTTGCGGATCTCTCAAAGATCTCCGAGACGAAGCAGAGGTGACGCGGGCGATCCGGACCACAGTCATGAGCAAGCAGTACGGCAACGAAGACTACTTCGCCAGTCTCATCGCCAAAGCTTGTGGTGAGTTGAGATTTTTGGGGATACCAGCTAAAGTTTTGAAATTATTATTTGCAACATTGCAAAGTGTTTTCTTTATGCGTACACAGCCTGTATCAATGTAATGTGGTCAGTTGCAGAGTAATTAATAAGCTTTTAAACCAAGTTGTATTTTAGTTTCAAAAAAATGTTCAGTTTAGATATTTTTTTTCCCTCTGTTGACATGCAGCGTATTTGTAAATACAGGGTGTGTCATTTCGTAAACTGCATTGAAGATATTTCTCAACCACATAAGGCCAAAAAAATAGTAATAGTTCTGCTTCCGGTTACCCTACCTACCCTATTTTGACAGCCTTTACCCTATTTTGGGGGGGGAAATGAGAGAAAAAAATCCAAAAATCATCAATTACTACCTTTTACCCTTGACTACACGCAGATACCTCCATATGATCGTACACAAAAAAATTGCCAAAAAAAAAAAATTCCCTACCTACCTACCCTATTTTCAAATACCATGTAATCGGAAGAAGAAAAATTTTTGGGCTTATTTATATTTGTTAAAGGAGTGTTGCCAATGTCAGTTATCTCATATGATGTTGCCATGCTTTTCTGACTTTCTAAATTTTCAATTGTTTTGTCTTTGTTTATTATTTATAGTTGCAGTTCAAACCAAGACTAAGACATTCAATGTTGACAACGTCAGGACTACCAAAATTCTTGTGAGTTTGCTATCAGATTTTCTTTGTTTTTATGTCATCAAACATTATTTAATTGTTAATTATTACATTTATTTGGTGGGGGGTGGTTGTAGGTGCCCTTGTGAACAAATTTTTAAAAACATTCCATTCCTGAAATGATATTATTGCAATGTTTTCTCTTATTCTTTGCAATTGTTATTCCTTCACAGGGGTCTGGTGTCCTGAGTTCTAGCGTGGTCCAGGGCATGGTTTTCAAGAAGCACGTGGAAGGGACCCTGTCTAAAGTGGACAATGCTAAGATCGCGTTGTATTCCTGTCCCGTCGACACCTCGCACACCGAAACCAAAGTGAGTCACCGTTGCGCCCAATCTGGAATTGTGTCCCAAATAGGAAATAAACTTGTGTAAATTACCCCTTGCCCAAATGTGCACTTTTTCCCCCAATTCTGAGGAATCCTGGTTTAACTACCAAAAAAATCAAAGATCTTTTTCAATTATTATTGTAAAGATGTCATTACAAGTAATTTTTGAAATTTATTAAAAGTATTGGAGACTTTCTAGTCCTTGTTTAAGACGTATCGATCCAATAGGAGCCTTTATAAAATATGTTTAAATACAAGCAGCTGTCTGTGTTAACGTGATTTATATAAACACAGTAAATTTATTGTAATTTTTTTTTTTTCATTTCAGGGCACAGTGTTGATCAAGTCGGCCAACGAGTTGTTGAATTACAGCAAAGGGGAGGAGAACTCCTTGGAACTGGTCAGATTTTTTTCTGCATTTTTTCCCCCTGAAATTTAGCTCCAGAATAGCACACTAAAAAAGTCAAGTAACAATCAACTTGGGAACCTACTGGATCTGATTACGTACATTTTAACAGCCAGATAATTGCAAATAAAGTTTTTTGTTCTTAAATCAGTGCCAAGGGGCAACAGCTTTGGTTGTTTCTCTGTGAAAACAGTGATGAATTGTCCGCTGAAGAACCCTATCGGTCAATTTTCAAATTTCTTTTTAAAAATGTCACCCCTACAGCAAATTAAATCCATCGCGGAGGCCGGCATTAACGTGGTTGTCGCCGGCGGCAAGATCGGCGACATGGCCCTCCACTTCCTGAACAAGTACAACATCATGGCGGTCCGGCTGAACTCCAAATGGGACCTGCGGCGGTTAGGCCGCGTCGTCGCGGCCACGGCGCTGCCGCGACTCACCGCGCCGACGACCCAGGAGACCGGACACTGCGATCACGTCTTCATATCGGAAGTCGGAGAAACGCCGTTGATCGTTTTCAAACAAGGTATCGGCGAAATAGAGTGCTGGAAGACTTGTTGCTTATAAGCCCCCCCCCCCCCCCCAAGTCTCCGGTTTCTGGTATGCACGCGCGTCGCTGTAGCCATGCGCGTCGGCAAAATTTAAAAAAAAATTTTTTTCAATGCAAGATGATGTCTCAAAACCGCCAAACTCACTGATTTTTGACTGGAATCCTGCTGCTGCACAATTTGAACGTGTTTTTTGATGGGGTTATGATCGAGTATAAGCTTTATGTGGCCACTCTGGGCTCCCATACATTTTGCAATAAATTTAGTCGGCCATCATTTGCAGTCATCAGCCGACATTTGAAGGGGGAAAAAGTCAATAACAAAAAAAAAAAAGCCGCGTCGCCGCACCACTTTTGGGGCAAGCTCCACACCAGAAACCGGGGACTTTTTTTTTGGCCTAATGTATTAGTTTTGAGTGGATACTGGATTTCTTTGTGGGAGCTTGGACCAAACGTGCTATCTTTGCCAAATTTGTGTTCATATTTTGTACTAATTGTTTGCATTTTGAGCAGTATTGTGCACAGGCAAAAGATATGCTAGTTATTCACCACCTTTTCTTTTGCTGTATTCCTTTTGGCAAAGATTTTTTTAAGTTGAAGGTTTCGCAGGTACATGTACTAGAATTTTATATGGTTCAAGTATTAAACTTGCGTTAAAATGCTGACACTACAACACAGATCAGCAGCACCACAATAATCCAGTTCGGTATTTCAACTATGTATGCGCACAATGATATGTGTCATGGGTCATTCTGGATAATCGAACCCTCATTGAACGCCCAGGGAGACGGGCGTACGACGCTCATGTGTTAATTACAAGTACAATGTCCCGTCCGCATAACATTTATTTACCTGTCTTTAAAAAAATAGACACAATGTCCAGCGCCTTGAGTACCTAATTGTTGGTAGATAAGTGCGCTATATAAGACTCCGGTATTATTATGATAACATCGCGTATCATCACATCAGCGATTTGATCCTGAATGACCTTTGACATGAACTGCATCATTGAGATACTGAACTTAGATCCACTGATGTCCTCGCTTTTAACTTCTCATAAATGCCATTACAAATGGGAAAACACTGTACAAAGTCTTGTGTTTTTTGGAATTGGTTTGGAATTTTTTCTTCTAAATTTCCAGTTGCATGCCTGTTTATTGTAAAATATGGTAAAATATGGTGTCCTTGTCAAGTAATGGGGTAAACAGTGTAAAAAGTCTATTTTTTTTCTTTTTCAATAAAGATAATGAGGAGAGCAGTATCTCCACAGTCGTCATCCGAGGCTCCACCGAGAACCTGATGGACGACATCGAACGTGCAGTTGATGATGGAGTCAACACTTACAAGGCACTCACAAAGGTATTGACATCAACTACATAATGTCATACTCTTTTCACTCCAGGTTACAGGACTAAAATACTAGTACAAAAATTAAAAAAAAAAAAAACCAACATAAGGCCCCCCAAAAAAGTCTCCGGTTTCTGGTATGCGCGCGCGTCGCCGTAGCCATGCGCGTCGGCAAAATGAAAAAGGTTTTTTTTTCAATTAAAGATGATGTCTCAAAACCGCCAAACTCACTGGTTTGACTGGAATCCTGCTGCTGCACAATTTTAACGTGTTTTTAGATTGGGTTATGGTCGAGAATAAGCTTTATGTGGCCTCTCTGGACTCCCATATATTTGCACTAAGTTTAGTCGGGCACCATTTGCAGTCATCAGCCGACATTTGAAGCAAAAAAAATCAGCCGCACCACTATTTGGGCAAGCTCCATACCAGAAACCGGAGAATTTTTTTTTTTGGCCTAATGTTGCATCTTTCAAAGATTTCTGCTACTAAATCTTTTTGAGTAGTAAAAAGGAATAAACCTTTAAATTTGTGAGTTTTTTGGTAATTTTTTTTTTTTTGGCAGGATGGCCGTTTGGTGCCAGGAGGCGGAGCCACCGAGATTGAGCTAGCCAAGCGGTTAGCCTCCTATGGCGAGACCATTCCCGGCCTGGCGCAGTACGCTATCAAGCAGTACTCGCAAGCCTTCGAGGCGATCCCGAGGGCGCTGTCGGAGAACGCTGGGGTCAAGGCAACAGAGGTGATGTCTAAGCTGTACGCGGCCCACCAGGAAGGGCAGCAGAATGCTGGGTTCGACATTGAGGTACAAAAAAAATATCTGCCAGAATTTTTTTTTATTAATGCTGAGGGTTCCTCCGCAGCACCCAAATATTGCACGTCAGTGGGTAGAGCACCAGAATGACAAGGGAAGGTTTGCAGGTTCACACCCCGCTTCAGTCAATTTCTTTGTTCAACTTTTAAATTACAAGTCTTTTTCCCTATGTTGTTTATTTGAAAATCCTGTCAAAATGACTAGATGTACAGAAATTGAAGAGTGTGTATGCTTTAAAAAATGTAGTTGTCATGTGGATAATTATTATGTTATGCCTGCCATCTGAAAACCTAGAATGTTAAATGTGTGACTACATCTCACGAAATCAGCTCTCTCTTTTTGGTAGATCAATCATTTTGACATCTTAATCTTTACAGATAGTAGGCTTATAATATTAAAAATATTGACTTCCTGTTGATTTCTGTTGTGCAAGAATTGTATCACTTTTGCTGTTTCTCCATCTTGAATTTCTAGCAGTATTGAGACTTGCCTTTTTCATGTAAAACAAAACTTACACTTTAAAAATGTTCTGAAATTGACTTTTTATTATGATTTTTCTACAGGCGGAAGGAGCCGAAATCAAGGATATGTTGGAGGCCAACGTTGTGGACGCTTACCTGACCAAATACTGGGGGATAAAACTGGCCACTAGCGCGGCCGTCACGGTCCTACGAGTAGATCAGGTAACATACCGATAAAAACAAAAGTCAAAAAAATAAAAAAGTTTGCAGGAATAACGTCTGACCTGCTGAGATCGGGGCCCAATTTCACGAAGCTGTTGAGCAGGAAATGTTGCTTAGCAAATTTACCCGCTAAGCAGCAATCAGCCGGGAACCAGTCCCAAGCAATTCACATACTGTGACATTTTGGCTGGTAACCTGTTTTTGCTAAGCATGTATTTTCCATGCTTAGCAAATCTCTGTGCTGCATACCAGCAGCTCCATGTAACTTGCCCCTGATTTTTATTAACATTTAGCATTGACACCTTGCATGGCAGCCATCTTGGGAGTACACTTCTTTTGTTTTTCAATGGGTTGACTTTTTTATCAGGAATTTAAGCCCTCTTGCAATTACATGATTTCAGGCAATTTTTTAAATGACACTTTCTTTTGTACCGCCGATTCCTTCAAAAATGTCTGAGCTCATCCCTGTTTTTGCATTTATTGTCCCTCAAGATGGTTGCTAATGCAACAGATCTCTAAATGAAAAGGAAGTTTCAAAGTTTAATTTGAAATTTCTTCTTTTTTCCCCCCGTATTTTCAGATAATCATGGCCAAGCCAGCAGGAGGACCCAAGCCCCCTAAGCAAGGCGGAATGGACCAAGATGACGATTAGAAACATTCACCACTTTGTCTCAACAAAATTTGTCATTAAATGTCGTAGATCTGTAAAGCTTATTATGCACTGTATCTGAAAGATATGTGTTTCGGATGGAACATGTTTTGTCGTGGGGTTGCAAAATGGGTCACAAACGTTGTTCCAAAATGTTGTTATGATGGTCACATTCGAGAACAAATTTGAAATTTTATCAGTCTCCCAACTGTCTCTCAGTCAAAAAAAATGTACACCATTTGGGTATCAGAAGTGAATGTTTCAGCAGGCGTAACAGTGCAAGAAAACTATTTTGGCCATTTCCGAAACTCTGGCTACAGAGTGGCTGTGGCCGAGGAACCTGTGCTACGTGAAACGTTTGTGCAATAGGCTCCAATGCACATGTACATGTATGTGAACTAATTCAGCCCAAATTGATTCGAAGCTTTCAAAAACATTTGCTTTCTAAAACTCATAAAAGCGAAACCTGGACTGAAGCCGAAATTTCACAAATGGCGAGTGTACATGAAAAGTGCCTTGTACACAAGCGCAGCTTTTCTTTCGGTCTACAGAGAGAAAAAGTTACATTTTTTTTTCTTGTAAAGCACAATTTTTTAGTGAAATGTTTTTTGTTTTGGTATTTTTTTTTCTATTAAAAGCCAAGTATTATGATGTGTGCAGTGAGTAAAATGTGACTTGTCCAATATAAAAATTATCAAATGTTATGAAAAAAAAGCATTGTGCAATGCTAGCGATAATTGGGGATTGCAAGAGCCAGCGTTGTTGTTTTACCAATCAAAAAATGTAAACATTTTCACAAAATGTTCCTGGAATAAAAAATCTGCATCAAATCTGAGAATACCAGTGTGTTATTTGTCTCACTTTGTCAGTGGCATTGAATGCTACAGATTTGCTTTTGAAATGTATTGCCTAACCATGCCTCTCATTCATTTTGTAGGTTTGCCATACTCCGTTAGAACTTGCTTCAACAACTTCTTGCTTTAAGTCGGCTCTGAAGGCCTATTAGTTCTCAGAGGCAACGTCAACATAAATTTGCTGCGTCCGTGCAACAAGGTCGTTTCTCCTAAACTGGCGTGTGACGTCATGTATGTAAAACGCGAGTTTTCAATGTCAAAAGGTCGTATCTCGCTTAAAATAACCCGGATGTATACACAAAGTCAATGGACATCGAGATATGCGAGATACGACCTTGTTGCACGGAGCATATTCGCGCGAGATGTGACTTTGTTGCAGAATCGAGTTACCTTGTTGCACTGACGCAACAAATTTTGAACTTATTTCTGACTTTTTAATGCGCCGCATAGTTGCTGGAAAGGGTTGGTGATTATAGCACGCACCATGAGTGCCCATTTGTGGCGGATACCGGCGCTGTACAAGTCTTCTTCATTCATTCATTCTTTGGGAGTTTGTGTCTATGCACCAAGTTCTAGCTTACAAGGCTCAGCAAACAAGTGAATGATTTTCAATTGAAAGAAACACAGCTGACGTGACAATTTGCGTTTTTATATTTACACAACATGACACTCAATATCGGCTTTATTTCCATCCATTTTGCTGGACTTGATGGGCCAGCCTATGGTCTTCTGACTGACCGAGTGAATGATTGAGTCACTGTGTATTAACCCTACTGCTGTTTAACAGGTCACCAACGGTCAAAGTTTCCTTCCACTTCCCCTGGTATACTTTCAACACACCAATGGTCACTTGACCAATTTTGACCCAAGTAACCGCATGGCTCAGAATGCATGTTTGCATAGGAGAGTTCATGATTTCCAAAACTGCGAGTTACAGGTCGAGTTTGACTAGGCAAAACCTAGGGTTGTTTGGCCTTCACCTCAAGACAGATGCTTATTCCTTGCCAGCATCGGGTATGCACTATGAACTTTAATAATAACCATCTCTTAGTTTCTGTGATATTTTGAAACGGTCAAAGCGTTTCAAAACGTATCCAAATTTTAAAGCATTTCATCAAAACATTCAGTCGTACATTGCTGCATAAGCCTCTTGTCCCATTTTGATGTAGGCCTCTTTTTCAGTTGGCGTCATCTGTGCCACGAGTTCATCAGTGATGTCTTGGAAGGGCACCATGCGTCCCCCGACCGACACCACCACGTCTTCCTCTTCCTCATCATCTTCGTCCCCGCTTTCCATCTCAACGGTGTGCGTGATCGGGGCCGAGCGCGCCGACAAACCGATGTTAAAATCGTCGTCAGAGCCGCTGGCATCGCTCTCCACGTCACTGTCGCCCTCGCCAGGGACAACGGCCTGGGTCCCGGACTTCCGCTCGTGCGCCAATAAGGCGCGTATGATCTCTTCCGACTCTTTATTCTTAGTCGGTTTCCCAGCCGAGGAAGTCCCTGCCTGGGAGCCAGGGTTTTCGGCCGATGTCTCAGTTATAGCGCCCTCTACTGTGCTTTCCATCAGCCAGACGGGGCGTTCCCGCGCCGCTTTTTCTTTAGCCTTGTCCTTCTGCGACTCCTCCCCAACGTTGATGGTGATCTGTTGGTCGTACATCTCGAAGCCCAGGTTTCTGGACGAGTCTCCGCTCCACGCGTTGTGCGGACCACTGCCAGCACCGCCACGACTGGCACCTGGTCTGAGAAAGTAAATACATAAAAACCTTATTGATATCTTTTCTCTTCAAACAGGCAGCACCACTAACAAACACTTGGGCATCATTCTCTGCATCCACCACTTAGAATTGGCAGAGCATTTTCTTGTTAAACCCAAGAATTTGACTGTGAAGTTGGGAAGTGTCCTCTTATGAAGGCAACGTTGGAGTCTAGTCCATAACAAGTCCATCTCAAGTCAATCACAAGACATGCAGTCCCAAGTCAAGTCACAACCTATTCAAATATTAACTGCAAAGAAATACATTCATCCCCTTTTCTTGTGATGGACTTGTGATGGACTCGACTACAACACAGTTTTAATCCCTTCCAGTGATTGCAATACCTACCTCTTGTTTTCGTTGGCCGCAGATGGGGTCGGCTCCAGCAGCGCCTTGGATAGTTTGATGTGCTCGACAGACTTGAGCAAATCAAAGATTGGTTTCAGCTGCTCGTTGAAGATGGCTATCTGCATGTAGGCGTCCTTCTTAGGCACGGCACTCTCATCCTCATGCACCTAACAGCGGAAGAAAAGGAGGAGCAGTAGGAAGAAGAATAATATAAATGTGGTGCTTCAGACCAACGTCTCAAAGCACTTGTATTAAATTTCTCAGATAGTTGATTTATACAATCACTCAAAGTGCTTTACAATTATTTTACCCCGGTTCATCAGGCCATGAGACCAGTTTCCCTCAGCAGATCGGGATCGGCGCAATCGTACCCTCACAGGTACCCATTTATACTCCTGCGTGTAGAGGCAATTGTAGTAAAGTGTCTTGCCTGAGAACACAGACACAATGTTTCCATCAGGGTTCGAATTCAAGTACCATCATACAGATCCAAGATGCAAGAGCAAGATTCGCAACAACTTACAATGTTATTTCTGGCAAGCAAATTCAGGATGCTGAAAAATTTAACATGGGTCAGACAGAAGGGGGTTGTTTAGTCACCCCCTTATATCGATACCTACCTCTGTCCCGCAGAAAGTACAGTTTAACTGCCCAGTGAGCATGTCCATCAGTGTCCCGGCATCAAACTCGTTGTACTCCTTGTGGCACTGCGGGCACTTGAAGAGCGCCTTGCAGGTAGAGTCCCGCTCCTTGTTCTCAATCTTCTGCCGCATCCTGTCCAGCTTGTATTTGACGACATCGACAAAGACCTGAGATTGTGATCCATGAACAAAAATGAAACCACAGTTTATGACAAAAGGTGAACGATATTTCAAGTTTTTGAAACACAAGGCCTGGATTTCTCCATAAACCCTGCCAAACTTTTGCTTGTCTATATTCCCACAATGACCTGGTCCAAGTTTGACTCAGCTATCATTGTCACCTGACCAAAAGTCATGATCTCATTGGTCGATGCGTACTGTCTGATAAGCAGGCAGGGAGGGGCCACTACTAATGCAGCTTGGTACCTTGTAGTTGATGAAGTAGTAGTTGTGTCGGTTGGTCCGTCCGTCTGGCTGTGTCTCTACCCGCATCGTCTGCTTGATCAGCTTGTCGTTCTTGAGTCTGTTGATGAAGATGCGGAGTTGCTTCTTGTCGAACTTGAGCAGGTCTGCCATGTCGTCCTCCTGAACACATCAAAGATGATAAGAGATTAAGATGAAACAAGATCAGTAAATTTTAGCAGTTCTGTAATATTAACTTTAAACACTGTACATATGACAACACTTGTTTCTCTGAGATACGATGAGTAGACTTTTTGTGCTTTCATTGTCATTTAAACAACAATAAAAATAATAGTACACTTACCTTCACGATGGGATTTCGCACAAGAATGTCTATGATCAGGGCATGCTCAATGGTGTAGAAGCCGCGGGTGATGAAGCGCGCCAGTCGCTTGAGTTCATCCGGGACCTCGGTGAGGACGGAGGGCTCAGTGATGGCTGGTGCGGGAGGGTTCATGCTGATGTGGTTTTAAGAAGTTGTGGAATACTTTGTCAAGTTGTGAGGCTGTAACAAAGAATAACTTAGTACTTGAGTATTTAAAAGCAATCTTTGAGGAAAGAACAGTATGGTTTTCTTCTCAACTAAGTTAAACCAATTAACTGGATATTTTTAGGCATTCCCAGTCAGTATTATAATTATAAAAATGCAAGATTCACGTGGATTGGTAAATCAAGAAACTCAAACGTTTATTTTCTAATAAAACCTGAACGTGATATAATTCTTGGATCCTCAAAATTTATGTTTGAACTCACATTTTTAAGCATCATCAATGATTAAGACAAAAGTCAAAGACAAAGTGAAAAGTCAGATTTAATTAAACAAAAAGAACAAAGCTTTTCAAAATCAAGTTTGTGTTATTGGGCTGTACCTGGTTGCAAAAATACTCAAAAATTTCCCCGAGGATTTTAAATAAAAAGGGGAGGGAAGCTTAGATTTAATCTAATTTTATCACATTCCACAATTTAATAACGCTGATAGAAATACAAAAATCGTAACAAATATCAAAACACATGCAGTGCAATGTTTTGGCTGAATAGTCTGGTGCTCAGGTATAATTGTCCAACTCTACACAAAACGTCTGGCAGCCATGCACACATCTGTGCAGCACAAAATGGCTTCCATCGACCTGGAGAAAGTCCGCGTGGTTGTTGTCGGGGATTCGGGTGAGAAATTCACTTTTTCTGAAAGAAACTTCTCTAAATTTCGGAAGCATTTATGATAAACCACACGACAAGGCTCTTTTTGAAAATAAAAATCGTCAATTTGTGTGTATAATTACCTCGTAAATTAGTCCCGTGTTTTCCGATACCTACTGTTTCACTTGAGCCACATGATTGTATTTTAGGCGTTGAGGGCGCTATACCAAGTACACGTACGCTTGTGTAAATTTGGCATTGCATTTGGCAGTGAAATTGAAAATGAATGAGAAGGGGAATATTTTTTGTAAATATTATTATGAGTTATGGAAACTTTATTGTTAAATAAAATCTAAGGAAAAAATGTTGCAACCTGACGCCACTTCAGCGGTTGTGCACAAAGTCTATGGAGAGTCGAGACAATTTTCTAAGTATTTCCTAACAAAATTGGAAATGTTTCTCAGTCCCAGATTCATGTCTTATCATCATTTTTGTAATGAATGACCTTCATTGAGATGATATATGAAGAAAAAAGCGTCGTCAGATTGCAACATTTTTTCGAAATCGTTGATGCATGGTTGGGCTGTTTTGTTGTATTTTGCGGGAATTGGTTTTACTTTTAATTTAATCGTATCCTACAACTTACAAATACAAGCAAAGACAGTTGGCAAGTGATGTCAAGAGTCTCATATGAAAATTTAAAATTATAAACAGAAAGATTGATCAACAACAGTCATATCAATGATTACAGATGTCATTGCCAATTGGTTTCCTTTTTCTCAACAGGCGTCGGCAAATCGTCCTTGGTTCATCTAATTTGCCGGGGTCACCCCAATCCCAGCCCCGGCTGGACGATAGGAGCAGCTGTAGATGTCAAGGTGAGCTGAGATTGGGTCAAACCGATGATTTCCTGTCTCAAAAATGTCTATTTGCGATTTGAATTGGAATTTTTCATAGAGATAAATTCTTTTGTTACACCGGTACACCATGCAGAGGTTGAAATCAAAGGAACTCTTTTTTGACAAAATGAACTAGCACAGTTAGTTTTTAGCTGGTATGTCAAGTCTCAAATTTCACAAAAATATTTCTGATTTCATTGCATTGCAGATTCACGAATACAAAGAGGGCACGCCGGCTCAGAAGAGCTACTTTGTGGAGTGCTGGGACATCAGTGGGTCAGTCAATCACGCAAACAGCAGACACATCTTCTACAATCCCGTCAATGGTAAGTTTCCCTCAATTCGTATCCTCCAAAATCCTTCAAAATTCTACCAGGAGGTTCCGAAGAATTTTTCAAGATGGAAGAAGGTAGCACCAATCTCCCCTTGTTTCTTATGTCATATTCGTAGTCTTGGTCCAAATTTGCTCCTCCTTGCACGGCAATCTCTGATAGGCACGTTCAAGTCACAAGATTAATCAAGAGCAGTCTTGGGAATTTTGGCAGTGCTACCCAGGAAATTCCGAGCATACCTCACGCGCTTGCATTAGCTTGAATAGACCCCTCTCATAGACAGCCATCTTCGTAGTAAAACTACAACTGCGTATTCAATGCCATCAGGTACGTGTGCTTGCAGTGTGCAAAATGTTCTAAACACGCATGCATTTTGCTCGAAATTTCTTTGAAATATGACGAAAATTTGACTCCAAAAATGCCGATGCACGTGACAATCTGTAGCCAGTGACGTCATTTGAGAGGTATCTATATGGTAGTTGACAAATGTGAGGCATGCTAGGAATTTCCTGTATTTGAACTGCTCATGAATTGTATTATTTTAAAATAGAGTATCAAAGCCTTGCCCATGCAACTAATATTTCTAAACTATTTTTTTTCCAGTAAATTGTGTTTTGTGGTTCTTTTGCAGGGATAATCCTAGTCCACGATCTAACCAACAGAAAATCCCACACCAACCTCCGGTTATGGCTAAGCGAGGTGCTAAATAGGGAATCAGCTTACGGCTCAACAAAGACCAGATCAAGTGCAAGGTAATACCCCTAAAAAAAATGCCTCTTTTTATTTCTACCTTGAATCCTCGGCCCAATTTCTTGCTGCTGCTCAGCATAAAATATATTGCAAAGCAAATTTGAGTGCTAAGCAAAATTCAGCAAGTAACCAGTCAAACGCAATACAAATCCCATGACTTTTTGGCTGGTATCCTGTTTGCTAAGCAGATATTTCCCGTGCTTAGCACACTTCTATGCTTAGAAGCTTGTGAGATGAACCGTTCTTGATTTAGCCATAAGCACCGCCCACTCTTGGTTTATGTACATTTCTCACAGTGCTTGTGACCACCTGACATGGTCAGCTGACCAAAAGCTGTGATCTAATTGGTTAATCACACAGTCATGAAGGATCCATTGGCTCTAAGTTCTACTCCACCTCCAGAGGATGAGGCTTAAAAATGATTACTAAATTTATAACTTTTTGCTCACATATATAGTCTTTTTTAATCCTTTCTCCAGCGAGTATGATCCAGAACAGTTCGCAGGAACGCGCATTCCAGTCCTAGTCATCGGCACAAAGCATGACCAGCTAGACTCATCCAGACAGGGCACACTACAGACGTCGGTCATAGCAGAGGAATGCGGGGCCGACGAAATTAACCTGGTAAGCAAAATCTCCTCGGCCCAATTTGCGCTAAGCGGAATATATTGCTTAGCAGATTTATATGCTTAGCAAAAATCTAATGAGAACCAGTCGCTAGCAATATACATTGCATGACATTTTGGCTGGTCACCTGTTTCTGCTAAGCAGATATTTTCCGTGCTAAGCAAATTTCTGTGCTTGGCAGCTCAACGAGCTTGAATCCTGTTCCACTGTCGGCGCCTGAATGCAGCGGTTTCATTGATTTAGATTCACCTGATGAATTTGGACATCCTTTTTGAAAATGACTATTTTCTCATTTCCAGGATTGTACACAAGCAAGGCATGTAGCGCCTGGCTCGACGAATGCCGTCAAACTCAGCAGGTTCTTTGACAAGGTGAGTTACTCTCAAAATTTCTTGCCATTTCTCTCAACCATAACTCATATTAAAATCACCCATTTTTGCTGTCTTGTCAGAGAGTTGATCTAAGATCGAAGAAACCTTATCAAGAAAGCCAAGAAAGGTTTTAAAAACAAGTTTTTCAGTAACATCTTTTTTTTAAATCGGTCTTTCAAATCTGACAACCTCAGAAGAAAAATCACGCGTCAGGTTAACATTCAAAACTTATTTTCTGCATTTCTCTATCATTTTCCAAAAGATCTTTTGTTTCAGCTCTTGCATCCTGATGGATTTCAGCACAGTATTATTTAATACAGCGGAGTTCCATCAAAATATTTAAAGCTGGGATAGGATTAATAAAATTAGATAGAACCGCTTGCATTCACCAGTTTGCGCCGGATGACATGTATACTCGCAAAGGTTTTGTGGTATTCGGAACGGATGACGGATAAACACGCAGGGAGCGAGGCCGGAAATATCTGTCAGCGACCCGCTCCCAGCGAGCGAGGCCGGAAATATGAGTGAGCTGCCTGAGGGTGATGGCTTCAACCCGCCTGGCTTGAGGTCGAGTGAAAAGTTATCCCGCACCTCGTTCCGTTCTTGTCAAAATAATCCCGGCGCGAACTGGTTAATCTGGGTCATCTATGACATCTGCTACCCAATTCTACAATTCATGCTCAAAACAAATATTTGGTACCGGCCCTGAAAAAACACAAAACCCGTCTAATTCTGAAGAAAAATAACCACCGCCGCCTTGGTTTCCCACATTGCCTAATTCATTCCTTCTTTTTCCGTTTCCTCTGTTCCATCTTTCCTTCCACGTCTCTCTGCTCTCGCTTAACCCTCTAAACTACTCATCGTCCCGTCCCGACCTATCCCATAATCCCTAGGTGATATACCGCCGCTTCTACTCTAACCCCGCCAAAGATTCACCCCAGAAGGTTTGTAAGTCACTCCCCTTATTTTTGTTTTTTGTTTTTTGTTTCAATTTTCTTATAATTCAAAACTATTCTCTGACATGATTGTTGTTTTTACGTGTGAATCTGTGAGTTCTTTAAACCCTTCCAACAACCCATGCATGCAGTGCTATTAACAGTGAGAGGGCTTGTCCTTCTCTTTATAAAATTTCATTCATACTTAAACTAACATTTCTGTAATAATATTTGACTCAGAAGAAAGTGTAATATCGTTGTATTTGCCTCGAAACTTATGGGTTTTTTTTTTTTTTTTTGGAAGGTTTGATTTTGAGTGCAAGATACTTTATTGAATTTTATTTTTGGATTGGTTTGATGTTGCAAAATTTTTTGAATGCATTGGTTGTTTGCAGGTTGCTAGGCATGTGACCAGTAACACTCAGTTGGATTGGTTGACGTTATAGTGGGAAAATAAACCTGTGACTTTATTGAATGCAGTGTACATCCAATGTTCAGTTGATGGAAGAATAGCATTGTGCGTACATATAAGCATGGCATCCTGGCATGATGTTTTTTGTGCATTATTGCCAGTTGGTTGTGGTTAGCGGAGCCATGGAATATGGCCCGGGTACCACTGGCCCAGGTACCACTGGCCCAGGCACCACTACCATTTGCACAGGTACCACTGGCCCAGGTACCAATGGCCCAGGTACCAATGGCCCAGGTACCACTACCACTGGCCCAGGTACCACTGGCCCAGGTACCACTACCACTGGCCCAGTACCAATGGCCCAGGTACCAATGGCCCAGGTACCAATGGCCCAGGTACCAATGGCCCAGGTACCAATGGCCCAGGTACCACTGGCCCAGGTACCAATACCACTGGCCCAGGTACCAATACCACTGGCCCAGTACCAATGGCCCAGGTACCAATGGCCCAGCTGCCTTACTAATGGCCATTCCACCTGTCATGTCGCACACCTGTTTCATCACCTGTTCTTTGTTTTGTTTTCTACCACAGGTGATCGAGCGGCGGTTCTTCTCCAGGGATTCTAGCCAGGTGTGTGCACCACCCTTCCATCCGTGGTGACCCCGCCCCCTTTTTTTGGTCACCACCCACCACCACCCTCCCAAATGTTGTAAGTGGTGATGCTGATGATCACGTGACCTATCCATCACCCTCCAGCATGCTGCCTCTCAGCCCCGCCCCTATTCTTTTGTTAATTTTTAAATAACAATAAGAGGAGGGAATGTGCAACTTCCCCCTCCTATACTATAATTATGAGCCACAAAAAGTCCATATTCATTTAACCCAATTCTTTTTTGCTCAGTTTCTCCCCTTTGCCAGACTCCTCCCTTGACCCCCTACACCTCTCCCCTACACATAGACACCACCCCCTAAAATCTGTTTTTCCAAGTTTCTCGCCTCCCCAAGACTCCCAGATCCCTCCCCGAACTCCCTGACCCCTCCCACATCTGCCAGACCCCTGCTGCAAACCCAACTATTCCACCCCTGCCGTGTGCCCCTCTTTGAAGAAACTTTGAATCAAACTTTACTTTCTGATCATCTGTGTTAGAATCTTGTTGAATCCAGCACTGTATTAAACCAGTGGCCTTTTTCTATGTATTTAATACACACAATCGGACTGGACTATTCAGTCCTTAAAGGCATATAGGATCATTTGATTTTCTTGCATGTTGTTTGTTTCCAATAATAACACCACTCAAAATCCAAAGAAGAATGTTCAAAACCTAACCTGTTGAAGTTTCAGCTCAGTGGATGTTACATCTGACCAGAAAAACCGTCAAAAACCATGCACAACCTTTTGATCCAAAACTGATTTCGTCTCTAGAACTCTTAATTTCCAACGATCAGTCAATTGACTGATCGTCGGAAATCACCTACATTTCTTGATTTCTTCCAAATGACAGCAAGCAAGATTGAATAAATTCACAGGGTGTTTACTATTAGTGTGATCTATAATCCAAGTGAACTTTTTGATAATAATTTGATACCTTACTTCTGGGATAAATGCAAATGATCCTATATGCCTTTAATCCATCATGATCCTGCAAAACCAGTTGTTGGATTTTGAGGATTTTACGAAATTAAGTTTAATGTTATAAAAAAACAGTTCAAGGAATTTCACAGTTTCATCCCCTTACTTTGCTCCTTGCTTCAGCAACCCATCGGTAGTCCTACCGAGAAACGGCGATCGTTCACCCCGCAGTACATGAAGAGCCTGCACACAGACTGACGACAAGGTACAGGGCTCTCAAGGTGAGCTGCACTCGCACCGTTGAGGGCGCTCTTGTTTAAAGGGCCATTCCATTCACTATCTCGCCAACGTGAATCGGGGAACCGGCCGCTACTTGGCTACCAGTGGCTCATGTTGCCTTGCCCTCTCCATGGTAACAATTGATGTTCGAAGTGGTTCGATTCCGTGCTTGTCGTTCTTCAGCCACTACCTTGTCTCTGTGCAGATAAGAGCAGTCTTGCTAAAAAAATGTGATTTGGATGGCCCTTTGAACGGGCCGACCGCACCTGTTACACAAGGATAATGAATTGAATGAGTGTTGGATCGTTGACAATATTCTGCGAAAGCTGCCAAAGAAACTAATATTGTTTAGAGGTACGTCTACGATATAAACAACACTGACGATATTTGAAGCAACTTCGATAAATGTTGCAACAGACGATTCATTGTAACACGGTTTACATTTTTTAAGTTGTTAATTGTGCGGACAAGCCTCCCTGAAATTTTTGTGGACCGCAGTGGAACGTACTATTTGAGACTTGAGAATTTGTTGTATTTTGCGTTCCAAACAGCGGATGCTGCTGAAAGTTGCCTCCGATTGTGGTAACAAAACGACTCTTAAAAGTTCAGCAAGCCGCTCGAACAACTATATCAAATGCTTTAGTTAACCGTAAAGTTGTCTCATGGGCACTAAAACACGTCATGATGTCACCGCAAACTTGCAGAAATAATCAACAATTAAATACGCAGCAGCTCCGAAATCTCAGATTAGAAACATGTTGAGCAATTTACTGGAGATAAACAACAGAATGGTTAGAAGGCTTGACAGTTTTTACCCACAGAGGGCGCCATTTGCATTATGTCACCTTAAACCATGCCATTCTTCAATGTCAAGTTGCTTTGGTGGTTAGCATAGTGAAATACTGTTATAATAGTGGTAAGAGCTTTTTCATGAAATCAACAGAGGGCGCTGTTCAAGATCACCAGTCAGTTTCCAACTGTGGCAATGCTATAGGAAAACTGCCGCTATGGTCACGTAAGAAATTGTATACCAACCGTAGGGTTGACTTGTGAATGCCAAGCCAACAATGGTCCAGGAACAAAAATTTGTACTGAACATTCGTATCATTTTGAGAACAGATCTGAAAAAAATCTAAGAGTGTTGGGGAACCATCGCTGAACTCGTCGCTAAGTGTAATTAAAGCTTATCTTTTTCAGTTGTGCTAGTGTAAAATAATGTTGAAATTCGAATGTTAGCAGAGAATATATATTTTACATGTAAAAATAACTCGTGTTTGCTTTATTTTGTTTGTAAACCTGCGTACAACTTTGTTACTGACTGTAAAAATGTGGAGAATGCAAGTGCAGTTGTGATGAGTAAGAGGCCGAGTGTGCTGTCTAAATTGGGAATTTTCCCCACAGTCTAAAGGTTGAAGAACAAGTAGCAGTCGTGTCCTCAAAATTAACCCCCATTCCTCTCAATCGGGATACACAGTCCTCGTAAACGGGATGCAAGAAAAATATGTTTCCGTGGTAACGTCATCGTCAGGGACGACGCAGTCCCTTGTTGATATATGTGGAGAGTCCAAAAGATCGTAAGCTGGAGGAGGGGCAATAATTGCTGACAGAGCTGACCAAATTTTGGAGAAAAAAAATCTCTGGCTATTTTAGAATTGTTAAAAAAAATTGCTCGTTGTTTGGGGCTTTGGGAGTTGGAGGTTCATTTCGAGTTTTAATTTGGCTGTTTGGTTTGTAATGGTTGGAGCCTGTCCTGGGTTGAAATCTGACTGTGTTGTTGTGTAGTTGTGGTATATGGAACCAGTATTAAGTTGGAACTTGTTCATAGAAAGAACCTTCGTATAGCTGGAACTTATCCATAACTGCTTGTGTGGATTCCAAAGAAAACTGTTCACAGGGCTAGAGTGAATGGGTTTTACCTCAAAATATCAACCACGATCGTCATTTATTTCAGGGGCGGTTCTAGCTTTTAAATGGGGAGGGGTTGGTATGAAAAGGGGGTTAAGTGAAGGCATGCTCACGGTATTGGGGTCCGGGGGCATCCCCCATCCCCCCACCCCCGGAAATTTTGAAATCTATGATACTTTCTTGGATTCTCCTGTATTCTAAGGAAATAAATTTATGAACTTGAGCATTCCATTTATATTTTTGGCCCCATTTTGCTAGTATCATTACATTTTTGAATTCCAAATTGCAAACTACTCAGTATTTAGACAGCAGAGAATTCAAAGTCTCTTGGCCTAGATATATTCTTGCTTATCTTCCCAATTCAGTCCACCCTTCAATTATGCCCGGAACTGTGCCTTCCCAACCGCCCCTCGTTGGTCGTTGGGTGGGTGCACTCTTCAGAAATCCATAGATTATGCCGATATTATCCAGGCAACGCCTAATCCATTGGCCCAATTCTTTTTTTCTTTTTTTATATTTCGATTCTGTCAGCAAGTCATTTGGAACCATATTGCCAGATTCTGTAACTGGGCCAACAATCGATATAGATCAATAGGGACTCCAGCATTTCCAAGTGCCGGTTTTATTTTTAATTCTCCCCTTTCTCTGTACTTCCGCAGAAAAATGGCTTAAACAGCTGCAATTTAATATTCTGACAGGATAAAAAAAAATGGTCAAAGATGAAATCGTATTGACAATATTGGCCATGCCCGCCAAATGTATGCAGCGTCACCGTGCGCATGAAGACACGAAGTCTGCATGTAAAATTTTCCATTTTCACCCAACTACATTGTCAACACATCACTCACACTGAAAAGCACTCGTCAGGTTTTTTTTTAATGTGCAACTCATGAACTCGACCTAATCATTCCAGTATTTCTCCAACCCCCCCCCCCCCCCATCATGTTTCCCCAACAGACAATTTCCGTTGACTTTATCGACGTTTTTTCTCCCATTCAGCTAATAATTTCACCCTCAAACGCAACCACCATCTTTCTTCTTTTCCCAAATCCCCCAGAAAAAAATCTTGGCGCCAAGGGGTTTTCTGAGTCCATGTACATTTTTATTGGTAGCACGTCCAGCATTGATTTTGAAGCGGCAGGCTGTTTGTCGCCAGCCGTCTTTGCCCGAGTTCATTTGGGTTTCACGCTGCGTGGAGTGCTCCTTTAATCATTAACCTTCCCGCCACTTAACACCAATTGAAACCAGTTAATATTGCACAGACCTACTTTGGCACTGTACTTATTGTGTACAGAGTATGTACACCACCCATGCCAAATATTAGCCGTTATGAACTAGAAATTGTCCACATGGCACATTTTAATGCGATGTTTAGAACACTGGCTTAATTTCAGCGGCCGACTTCGCCTGGGCTACAACTAACAATGTTTTGGTATGAGAAACATGTTCCCCTTGAATATGTTAATGTGCAAGGCCTATTTGCTGGATCAAACTTAGTCATTTTAAAACACACATGTTTCGTACTTTGGGAGCGAATTCTAGGTTTTTAAAACCCAAACAGCGTGGGTTAGTTCAGTTGGTAGAGTGCCGTACTGATGTGATATTTCGAAGGTCTCGGGGCCCGAACCCGCTTCACTGAAAATTGAAATTTCGACACTTTAGCATAATAAAGCTTTCCATTGGAATTTATAACATGTGAATTTTATTTATAATTAGCAAAAGCATGTGAAGACAAAATAAGGACAGTATTATGGACTCATTATCGCATACATCGATTATTTACTTTTATTTCATCAACTGATGATTCATTCATCTGAGTCGCTTCTGTTTTTTTACACAATCAAATTATGAAAACGCTTCAAACGCAAAAACGTATCTGCTCTGAGCACGATCTGTTTAGGTCGCTTGTACCAGACATCCAACACCCGTCTTTACCGCTAGAGGGCGAGGTAGACGTAGTATATTCAAATATAACACAGTGTTTGGGGTGTATAGTCGATAATATATCCCCTGGGCATTGGATTAGAAGTTGACAAAAAACTAGTCTTCTACGCGAAGCGAAGCCAAAAAGGAAACCTACTGCTCACTTTACCGGACTCGAACCCATCCAAAGCAACAACGGTCCCCGGGCCAATGATTAACTTCCCCCGTGCCCCCATCGCTTGAACCCCGCTCACACCTCGCTATCTCCATCGGACAATAGACGAGCGTGCGACCGAGTCCGTCAGATACACCACCACCCGTTTCTTCGCGCCGTACACGTCACAAAGCCCCAACGATAAATCATCTGCCGAGCCGCAGTATATATTTGCCGGTCAAGTTTCTGATTAAGATTAATGTGGGAGATAAGACCTATTATTGTCCTGGTAATGGCGCTATATAAACGGGTGAATAGACGCCGTTAATTTTTGCGTGAATGTACAATAGAACCGTGCAGGGCTCTATTTATACATATACCACTCCATGTAGTATTATTGTTTTCAACTAATTTATTTAGTAAAACACATTGTGTTGCACAAAGATTATATCGTTCAGTAACAAGAAAGGACATTCATTTGGTGCAAAGGTACAGGCATTGCAGAACCATTTTCAATTAAAAGCACTTTTTAATGAAATTTGGATTTTCTGTTCAAGGTATATAATTTTTTTTAGGGTGGAACATCATTTTACATGAGCCACCCCAATCCACCTCCCAACCACGCCCCTGATGTATGAAAGAACAATTATGTAATTCTATTGATTTTTCAAAACTTTACTGTTTAAAACCAACACACATACCACATAACTCTTTCAGGATTTTCAGGATTACTACGCGTATATAATCGATTTTCACGCCATTTTTTTTTTGGGGGGGGAATTCCGTCATTTATTTTATATCAATTCTTCAAATCAATATCTAAAAAGCGGGGAAATTTCTCCATTTGTTGCGGAACACGCGCATATATATTTGTTCCGTAACTATGGGGACTACACGCGAGTTGTCCCGTGGTACTATGGGGACCGAAGACGCTGTGGGGACAGCAGAAAGTCCCCATAACTCGGTCCTAATTTGCCTAACAATAAAAACTCTAAATGCAGTGACGGTCCGCCCACTCTTACAGACTCCATGCCTCGCCTCACTGGTACCGCAGACGAAATTCCGCTGGTTACCACACGACCGCCACAAATCTTAACATGAACCTGGTGTTTACGTCGCCTGTCACTGTGCCAGGCGAAGCCCCGCCAAACTCGGCAGAAGGGTATACGACGAGTCATTTTTCCCCTCACAAACACTAAAATAAATATACTTTGATTTATGAAGTAATTAACTGTCGTTGACGGATGGCAGGGAGCTAAACACGGTTCCAGCTGACGGAAAAAGAAAACAATTCGCGGCATCGTTTTTCTTATGGTAATGAGAGGCCCCTTGGGAATTTGGTAATTATTATTTTTAATATCGCGAGGGGTTAGAAATTGAAAGAAGCGATTGTTTATTTTCTTGAACCGAAAGTGTGGCTATAAAAAGAACCATTTTATTTCTAGAGAACAAAAAAAGTGACACTCATACAACGACATGCATAAAATATCATTTATATACTACGATAAAGATGGTGTCGGCTCAGAATAAAGTTCGAGCATGTACATGTATATCCATTCTGTATTGAACAATTCCAGAAATTGCATTTCACCCCGCCAACGAATTATAAGAAACGTGATCGAAAGAAAAAAAATCTTTCTGTTTTGTCTTCCAAAAATATTACTTTGTGTTTCCCAGGAACTTTCAAGATTGATAATGCACCAATACGTCCGGAATTGTGGGCAATATGCTCCAAATTTCCAATGCCCAATTTGCGGTGATTATTATAGCTTAACAATCCTTTATTCCGACCAAACGGGCTTTGTGTCTGCTGAAAATGCAATATACCGTCAGAAATTTGAAATTGGCAATATCGTTGCACTCAAAGCTACACATCGAATGAACTGGGCGATTGAAATTTCGATGCGAGAGCACAACGCACGAAACGTTTCTAGTTCTTCGAGGACGACGCCAGAAGTGCCCCCCCACTCGATAACACATTGACTGCGGTTTAATATTTTGGGCGCAGTGGTATGATAAACCTAGATACTGGACGGAACACGAACTAGGCCAGTTGGCTGTCGCTCAATAATGTTGTTTGTCAGTCTGAGCTATGTGTTGACTCACAACACGGCCAAGTTAAATACCAAAATGATTGTGTCAAGCACCAACCAAGTTTAAAGTTGTGTGTTATTTACGGAATGTAGAAGTGTCTACGCTTGTGGAATGTGAATGTGTGTCAACTTTTTTGACAGACAATGCCAAACCCACCAAGTTTCGTCACTCGGGTGCTAAAGTGAATTTAG